TGAAATGAAACCTTGAATTCATTCTCGAATGTAGACGAGACTGCACGCTGCTATTTTTGAATGCAAATTGTTGAAATGTTGGTCAGAAAACAATCGTCAATTGCAAATGGAAGCGCAACCCAACTGTGCCGAACAAACGGGCTGGACTGGATTCTTTTGTTTTGTTTTTGAAGTTGAAGAGTGATTGATTCACGCGTCACTCGAGGGGGCCCGCGTTGCTCCACTGGTACTTGCTACTTACTGTCCTCGTGGTATCGGTCCTTGGCAGCAATGAGTACTCGAGTGACGACTCGAGGACCGATATCGGTCTGGGAAAACAAAAAGTAGCATTGAACGTTCGTAAGATACAAAATTGTTGTTGAAACCCAATGAGTATTTCCTCCCTATTTCTTTTTGCATCCTTTTGGTCTCGTCACATCGCCTCCTTGCGGCCGTCATCGCCGTGTGAGCGATGACCTCGCTGCCGCCGCCGTCGCCATTAACGACCTCGCCGCTTCCAGCTCCATTTTCCGCTCTCATCAAAAACATTCAGAAGGAAGAAGAAAGAAAGAAGGGGGAAAAAAAAAATATTTCTTCCCGTCTGCGGCAGTCATTTCCAGCCGCATTGTATTTATGCACTGCAGGAGAAAAAAAAAAAAAAAGGTAATAGATCAAGCACATTCCATTATTCTCTTATAAGATCATTAGCAAATATAATTAGATATGAAAGAAAGTAATTTGGAGAGGCGAGCGGAGGAAAGCGCTATCAGGCACACAAGACAGATTGTAGCATCGCAGTGTTTGGGCTTAAATTGCTCAGCGGAGCTTTTATCTCCACGCCAATCTTTCTGCCTCAGAAATAGTTTGAGAGGCGCCCGCGCACCACCGACCGGAACAAACGCGCACTTCACTCGCCCGCTTATTTTATATTCAAAAAAGAAAAAGAAAAAACAAAAGGACTCTCATTAAAGGCTTGACATTGCTTCTTTTCTTTTGTTGTGATTCTCCTGAGGCCGAATCCATTTGGAGGCCTTTCCCACACTCGCAAAGTCAGCTGGATTCTGCTCCAGCAGCCCCCCCGCGACTCTGTTCAGGATAAGCGGTGTGGAAAATGGATGGACTTTGACGAAAACTAAATGCGGAGGGACGTGTTTGTATCGTGAGGAGAGCCACGCAAACGTCTCGGCGCACCCAAAGTCAAAGGCGCCGCGCGCAAGCGTTTGCGAACACGTTTCGACGCCGTCAACGAGACGAACGGACGTCGCGAGACGGGGAGCGCTTTTCAGCAAGCTTAACGGCGTCCCTCGACGCTTACGACTCCCAACTCCCCATTATTTTCCAAATGCTGGCATGCAAACAGCAAGAGTCAAAGACCTTTCCGTGGCGTCTGGGTCAGTTTGGTCTGCTCGGTCTGCTCTTTCTTGGATTTGCCCATAGTTTTCCTTCCGTATCATTTATTCAATCCTCAAACTGAAACAAGCCCGAGAGCGCAGCGCTGGTGAATCTGTGCTGGATTTCATGAGATTTTGTTGCAGATTGTCCTCTCCCGTCACATATGTAGCCCTGCTCCAAATTGTGTTCCCATTCTAAAAAAAAAAAAAAAAAAATGCAAACAAGTTTTGATTGTGCTTTTTCGATTATTTTCTGCCGCTTTAATAAACACAGCAAGCACCCAAATGGAATTTTGATCTGTGTGTGTGAGTGTGTCATGCACGCCTTCCACTGTGGGCTGGCTGTGTTTGTCTAATAGGACGCGAGCCCCAAAAGGAGAGTCAACAACGCCGCCGTTCCCGCTGCCGCATGCTCGCCTTTGCCGCCGCTTGTTCTTCCTCCTCGGAGCGCTTTGAGGGATGGGGAGGGAAAGTGTGGATTTTTCTCCTCTTTGTGCGAATCACAGACAGTGGCAGGCCTGTCTATAAACATCCTGTATTCATTAAAACCATCTAAAAATACGCTTGTTTTTTTTTTGTTGTTTTTTTTTGGGGGGGGGGCCTTGGGGGCGCCCTCACTTCCTAGATTCTCCTCGTTTCGCTCGTATTTCCATATTTATGATTGCTTTCTCGAGTGACTTGAGCGTGAACCAGAACAGAATAACAGCCTTTGCCTTCAATGCGACTCCAGGAAGTAGACGGCACCCGCTGCTGATACGGCGGCATTCCGCTTCGGCACACAAAGCTCCCAAAATGTCTTTGAGTCGGGACGAGACCTCCGCTGAAAGTCCACCGAATTGTCTTCAAGCGTTTGCCGGATGCTTGATCACTTTTTCCGAATTACATTTGCGAAGAAAAAGAATGTGATCGACCTTGGTTCGAAACATCACATTACATGCAAGTATTTGTCAGGTTTTGAAAATTCCGCAGCCAGTTTGACTTTTGAACATCAACTTAGGGTGGCACGTCCATCATGATCAGGAGAGGACCCGACCCGCACAAAATTGCACCGGAAGACGGCCTGTTGGCTTTGAAGGAGCCATTTTGGTCCTCCTCCTAAGACAAAGGCGACCGGCAGATTTGCTCCGCTCCCTCCCAAATTTAAACCTCGTACACTCGACAGATGGACAACACTTCAATCGCCAAGATGTTCTGCAAACACGAGGGCGGAGCATAACCTCGCAGTTGGATGTGCCTGAAAAAGTGGCCGTCATGATGAAAGCCGGGCCTCAAAAGATACTGCAAGTTCAGCATGATGAGACCCACATAAAAAGTCTCAAGAAGCCATGTCTCAAACGACAACATGCGAGTTTGTCTGTTTTGGTTTGAAGCTGCCATTCTCGGCACATTTGTGGTCCTTTGCAGGCCTCGTTCAGATGAACGGTTGTCCAACTGTGATCAAATTCGAGCCCCACACTGAACGCTAGACAGGTGGCCAAGAGTGAATTGTGGCTAACTTGAGTTCCTGTCATGGTCTTTGGATGCAGCAAACTTTGATGATTTGTTGTAAAACACAAAACCTGACCAGCACAAAGAGAAAAAGCTCATCTAATCGCTTCCATACATTTTGTCCCTTGGAGGACGCCAGAAAAAAACGGAAACGGTTTCACATGGCAACCAACAAAACTATTTTTGTCGCAGCAGAGGGAAACAAGACTTCATACAGTACACGAGTGTGTAAATGTATGCACAGAATCTTGAATTAATCAGCTGTCTAGATGGAAATATGGTTCTCGGTTGTTTTTGTTTGAAATCACCACTACATCTGCATATGTGTCAGCTGCACTTGGAATTCAAACGTTCCACATTTGGTTGTTTACATGAAAGCGTGGGTGTCCATATGCCCTTGGAATTACGCTCGGCGGAGTCATCCGAAATGGAATCCATCTATTGGTTGCTTTTTGCAAAATTGAGGACGCTCTGCTTTTGGGGCATCTGCCCTTGCTGTTGTCGCTGGGATGGCGAAGCCTCGTTCCCGCCGCCGCCGTTGCCGCCTTGCCTTTTATCCGTCCTGTTAAGCGTGACGCGCGCATTACGGCCGGGAGCTGTGCGGCCTCGGCCATATGCTGTTGCCTTTTTTTTTTTTTTGTCATCTTCCTCTTCTTCGGAGGCCTGGTTCCCTGAAGAAGGCCCGTGCTGTACCACCAACGACCACAGGAGGGCGCACTTTGGACACAAGCGGAAGCTCATTTGTCAAGCGTCACTTGGGTGAAGCAGTGAGGTCTCATTGATGTTGTCTGGGAATTGATTGTCTTCTCATTGAAACGCATCGGCAACATGATGTTTTTATAGTGACAGGGTTTTTTTGTTTTGTTTTGTTTTTTTGCAGATTACAATATTATAATATTACAATATTCTTATTATCTTAATATTTGTTTTTTTTTCCTTCAAATTGTGACCTTTTTTACAGACCTTTTTATGGATATTTGAGAAACAAGTCTGATTTTTTAAGGGGGAAAAAGTAAATTAGAGGAGGAAAATAGCAAATATTTTCAAGGGGAAAAAAACGACCAAAAACACAATGTTTTTCGACTGCGAACGGGGAAAAAAGGCCTGACTTTCATTGAATCTTACTTATTTTTCTTTTTTTTTTTCTTCAAGGAATATTTTCTTGTTGTTTCTCCAAAAAATGGAGGGGGTAAAAAAGTCAACGCTCTCCCAAAATAGTCGTAAATGACAAAGCCAGAAAAGAAAAAGGCCTACCTTTGGGAAGTTTCATGACATTTGTATTAATACAGCCCAAATGCGATGATGGCGACAGCAAATGGCCCACAGTATTTAAAAATGAAACTCAAGAAACTAAAAAAAAAAACCATTTAAAAAGACAAAAAGTGTTTGCTCGATCCAGTTTTTGGCCACTAGAGGGAGCCCACGTACCACTAGAGTGGTTACTCGTTGCCCAAAAACGCGAGTCCAGAGAGTCGTGTGTGCGTGTGCGTGCGTGCGTGCGTGCGTGCGTGCGTGCGCGCGCGCGTGCGTGCGTGCGTGTGTGCGTGCGTGTGTGTGTGTGTGTGTGTGTGTGTGTGTGTGTGTTCAGCCAAGTCATTTAGGATGAACATACACGCCAAACGTGTGTGACGGTGTGTTTATTCGCGTGTGTGTTGAATCCGCACTTGAATGAGAAATTAGGGAGGGGGTTTAAAAATGGTCGACGAGGTCGGGTTGGGCTAAATGTGTCAAGTTGGCTGGAAGAACGTGCGTGTGCTTTTCGACAGTTGTTTGGGGAGACGCTTAAATAACGTTCCAGGTGTCTCACTTAATGAAGAGTGAACATCAAATATGCCCTCGAAGCTTGAGCTCGTTAACCTAAAGCAAGACGTTTTGGGTTATGTGTATTTAATAAAAAGTCGTTTGTATATTTCGACTTGAGGAGTGACCTCCCCGCAAATTCGAAATGTTTTTGTTGCGGTCGGTCGTGGTGGAGCTTGACTGGCTGTGTTGCACTGCCACCTGCTGGTCACGTTGCTCGTCGACACGTAGGCTCCAAATGAACCAGATTGACTCATTTTTGAAAATATCACGTCGTCTCTTGGATTAAAATAGATATGATTTGAACTCTGACCTCGCTCCCCGTTTTCTCTTGGGTCCTAGTGCCCGCCTGGATGTTGGAGGAGGAGCAGCCGGTGAGCCTTGAGCCCGCTCTGACCCTGGACCAGGACCACCTCAACAGTGACCTTGACGAGCTGGGCGACCTCCGCCACGACGAACAAGACTAACTACCAACCTGATGAAGAAAAACTTTATTTAAACTCTCTCACACACACACACACACACACACACACACACACACACACACACACACACACACACACACATTTGTGGAAGGCGGACGGAAAGAAAAAAAAAAGAGAGAAAGAAAAGAAACTTTTGTTTTGAAACTACCTGTGTGACGACGAGCACTTCCTGTCCACTTTCAGGCTTTCCCCAGCCAGCCAGGCAACTTTTTGGGTTCCTTCTTTCCTGTATTCCACCCCCAAGACTTGCTACACATATAAATATATCGTACCCGGAATGTATTCTTCTGTAGAATAGCCACGTTAGCGCGCCGCCTCACTGTTAGCGACATAGCGACGTTTCCAGGCCGTCGTTTAACGGAGGGGAAAAAAAAAAAAAAAAGCAGAGGAGGACTTTTCATGCGTGTATCGTTGAGTCTTTCCAAATTTGACTAAGAATCAAAAGTGACTGATTATTTTGTTGCTTTTTTTTCGAACAGCAAAATACAAAAAAACCCTTCATTTTGTTTTCGATTTTGGCGCTCACTGAAAGTGCAATTTCACAGCATTGGAATTCTTTGTGAAAACGTGTACTTGGAAAAGTTTGCAGGTGTTTTCTGGTCTCACGTTTTCCTCCTCACAGGCAAAAATGTTCTCTGTGCCCCCACTCGCTTTTCTGAAAAATATTCTCAACTCAACTTTTTTGAGAGAGCACTTTAAAAAAAAACACAGCACACCGCAGCAGCCGACAAAGTGCTGTCCAGTCAAAATCAGACGGATGAAAGCAAAGAGGGTCAAGACAAGAAATACCCCCCCTCCCCCCCCCCAAAGATTGTTCACAACATAAAACAACGCCGATTGGCTCGTTTCTCGGATGAGTCGATTCGTTTCCAATCATCTCTGGCGGCCGCCATTTTGTCCTCCCCTGCCCTCAGACGACAGGTGAGTCGGGACATTCGCAATGCGAGCCCGAAGGCACGTGGCATCATTTTCAGTCGACAGCAGAGGGCGCTACAGGACTAAATGGATAGAAAACATTTCTTTTGTCAAACAGCGGTCCCCAAAAAATGCGGCTTTTTTTGGGAGGAAGAAAAAGTTGCAACGGAATTGGAATAATGACCCCAAAAAATGGCAGTCTTAACAAGAACCAAGATGTTTCTTTTCAGGATGTAGGTTTGCAATCTGACGAAGATAAAGCTCACAAAGTTCAGTTGTAGCTTCACAAAATTAGGGTGGAAGAAGCCAAAGTTCAATGAGCTAAGAAAGTGAATTTCAAAATTGCAACGCCAACATCAAACCATTTCCTTGGCGCCCTCTTGCGGCGTCTGCCAAGGAGCTACTCGATGTTGACGTGAGTTGAGGAAGTTTTTTTTTTTTTTTTTTTTTTTTAATCTGAGCAGCCTCAAATTGGAAGATGAAAATCAGGCCTTTTGTGTGTATGTTAGATTCAAAATAATAAGAAGAACAACAAAACAATCAGTCCCTTTTTCTTTTTGTTGGGTTGGGGGGTGGGGGGGGGCGGTAGCGATGACGCACTGCTGATTTGAACCATGTGTGTGATGATTGTAAACAAGGAGCACTTGAACTGCCCCGAGATGTACTTTGACCCCCAAAGCCCCTCAGCCCACATAGCGGCATACCTCCACCATCGACCCCCCCCCCCACCCACCCCCTCCTTTTTTGGGTCTTTCTCGGTGTACATAAAGAGATTTAGAAAGATGTTCCCAAGGAGCGTCCTAAAAGACAAGAAAAAAAAAGAGAGGCCTTTATCAAGCCTACGTTCTTCTCGGGAAGAATTAAAAGAAAAAAAAAAACAACCACAAAAACGGGGTTTTGTAAAATACTGCCAGCCGTCGTTGTTGCACAGTGTGACTGAAGACTACTGAGGAGGAGGATGGATCGACTGACTACGTGAGAAGAAAAACAAAACAAACAAAAAAAAAGAAACTGGAAAAAGTTGTGTAGAGCCTTAGCGTGGACTGAACTGCGTAGCTGTGCTAGACTCCAGGACGGACGCTTTGCTTTGCTTTCATTTTTCTCGCTTTGTCATTTTTGCTTCAGACACACACACACACACACACACATACATCTATATATTTAAATTCTCTCAAACATTCGGGCTGCACAATATTGGAAGAACAAGGGATGTGCATTCATGATTTTTAACGTGTACCTCAAGAAATGACATTTTTATTATCTGTTGAAACAAGAAAAAAATAGGTGTGTCTGTGTGCATTTGAGGTTGGCCCGATAAAAGCAAACAATTCCCAAAGTATTAGCTTATCACATCTTTCTGATCTGCAAATTGCATATGCCATTTACATGGTCATATTTTTCAGTGTACTGTGCAGCCCTCTTGCTCGCTCTCTCTTTCTCGCCCTCCCTCCCTTTCACTCTTTTCCCCCCCCCTCCGCCCCCCTCTCTCTCCTCATATATATATATATCCACGACACGCTCTGTGGTCCAAAGCACCAAAGAAGTTCGCGAGCACGAGTGAGAGGAGAAAGGCGACAGTGGACAACACCTGCAATAACACGACACCAAACCACGACGACAGACGGACGCGTGCGCAGTTAGTCGGGAGGGGGCCTACCCGTCACAAAGGCTGCGGAAGCCTTACCGCTGTGATCCAACGCAAAGTCGTCGTGGGCGTAGCGGTACTTCTCCGGGCCGCACGCGATGAACACGTCGTCGTCGCCGAAGAAATCCTGCAAGCACGTGATCTGGAACAAAAGCGCGCCGAATTTTTGGTGCATCTTGTTTTATGATAAAGACGGTCGAGCAATTTCATGTTGATGGGATTTTGGTTACTCTGAAATTTCTTGGCTGCTTCTTCATGGAATTATATATATATATATATATATATATATATATATATAGATTTTTTTTTTTTTTTTTTTTTGACTTCGGGGAGAAATTTCTGGCTGAGCCCAAAATGGCCTCCAACTTTTGCAGGTGACCTTGAGATGAGTTGCAAGTGTCGACTCAAGAGCCAGGAAGCATCGCCGAAAGGCATCCAAGTTGACGGAGCGAGCATCTGTTGTTCAGGGTCGCTCCGAAAGCCAGACGAACCAAAAGCTTCAACATTTGGACCATGAAGGCTCGAACAGGTCACAAGGTGGGAGTGCATTTTGGGCTCGTCGGGAAAGGTCGAGTCGCGCGGCGGCCGTCGCCGTCGTCGCGCTCCATCCGGAAAAGAACAAAAACAAAAGATGACAATCGTCGGCCGCGCTGCAAAACGGCGACACCACGTGGATGAGGATGATGAAGGCGTCGACGATGCGTGGCGGGACTTATCTCCTTTCTCATTTTGTTCTCAGCTTTGTTTTGTTGCTATTGTTGTTGTTGACGCTTCGCCGTTTTGGGTTCCTTGCGAGCATTTTGCACTGTGATCGTATTATGATGAGGACGATGATGATGAAAATAACGACAAGGATTCCCAGCGCGACAAGAAACCGAAGGTTGCGCGTTTGTGGGGTCCCCTTGGCATCGTGAAATGTTTCTCGGTCGTTTTTTTTTTTTTTTTGTCGTTTTTATGTGAAGAGAGCGATTCTAACGTGCTCATGTACAGTCCCCGATATGATGAGCGTTCTCATGCTAACGATGATAAGAATAAGAATCAGCTTTCACGGCGCCCGTTTTCTTCCTCCCACCCAAGACTTTCGTTGGATCTCTCCTCGATGTGGCTTTGACTTTTTCTTTGGACTTCCTCGGAGCCGCCGGCGGCCGGCCTGCGCGCGGAGGAGCGGCGAGCGGTCGCCGGGCGGCCATTCCACACCCTCTCCTGGTGTCTTGTGTTTGGCAGATGCTTTGTTTTGTAACTACTGAACTGTACTTATAAGAAAAATAAAATGTATTCCGACTCCAAAAAAAAAAGGGAAAAGATCGCTCAATAAACGAGCGATCACGTGTGCTGCCTTCTTCTTCGACATGCAATTGAACGAGTTGGCCAAAAAAAAACCATTGGATTGATAGAAATTATGATTTTCACAGTTGAATGTGGCTCAATTTTGTCACTACATTGGGGGAATTTTTTTTTTAAATGATGGAATTCCACAGATTTCAAAAGTTGCAAATTGAACCAAACATTTTTGTAAATTCGACGAAATTTCAGATTTCAGCAAAATGTAGAAATTTTCATTGAGACGAGATTGAAAACTCAAGGTTTCTTTTCCAAGTGAGTGGATTTCACCCCAAAATGTGAGTCAACGTTCAATGAAAAGTTTTTGAAAAAAACTGTCACTTCAGTGAAACTTTAAAATCCGTAAAAAACATTGTGAAGTGATTTCACTTCTCCAGTGAAAATTAAACATCTTTTTGAAAATTACAACAATAATCTCATCAACACTGGGAAAATCGGGCAAACATTTTTAACTTTCAAAATGTCAATGTTTAATTAAGTTTTTGGGGGGACATGATTGGTTTTCACCCCCCAAAAGAGCATACTCCATCGACGCCGTTTTTAAAGTTTTTTTCAAGTTCAACTAAATTCAAGTTTTTCCAAGTTAAATGTACATGTGATCGATACATATGTCCATTGATTTTAAAGCAGAACGAGTCCCTTTGGTCGGGAAATGTCAAGTAGGTTTTTGCTGCACCTCCACCCAATGGGGTCTGTGTAAAATAGTTGGAAAAAAAAGAGACATTTGAAGTGAAGAAATCAGCTTTGCATTTTTTTTTTTGTACATTTCATAAATTACAAAAGCATGTATTTACACCTCAAACGCGCGTAGCATCAAAAAAGATTCAAAGCAAGCCGAGGGCCAACAAAGGTCACCGACGGGGGCGCTTCAGTAGTTGTGCGGGCGCGGGCCGGGCTGCTTGACGTGCGCGCCGACCCGGCGTTGGCGCGTCTTGACCGTGGCCAGGTTTCGTCTGAGGAGGGCGCCGCGGCTCAGCCTCTTGCGCTCGGCCGGCGGCGGGACGGCGTGGGCCGGCAGGGGGAGGCCCCACGCCGCCAGCCGCCAGGACACGCGGCTGCGCCGGAAGGCCAAGGACGCCGGCCGCAAAGCGAGCGGCCTGGAAAGACAACACGCACCCATTCGGACTGGAGAAAACAAGAGCCGAATGGACGGGTGACGTCCTCGTCCATTCACTCAATGTTTCAATTTCGTTTCCTTTTTTTTCCTCTCAGAAAATGCCAACTGGCTTGAAATTCATTTTTTGAGCAGCTGAGCGCGAGTCACCTGGAAGAAAGGTCCTCCTCGTTTTCATTGGAACTTTCGTCCTCGTCTTCGTCATGGAGGTCAGCTGCGCTCATCCTGCATCTCATCTGGAGGACGGACATGCTGGGCTGCTCCAGTAGAAGCTCCCCCAGGGTCTCTGACGCCTCGGGGGACAAAAGCGGGCCCACCTCTGACACGCAAACAAACAAACACGCTGTCGGCCTCGTGTGCGACCATGCTCTTCTCATCTGCGTGTGGGTGTACGCGTTGGGAATTGTCACCTGGCAGATTGACGATGACCCAGCCTCCCTCTTCGAAGTCCAGCAGTTCGCCTCTTCTGTCTTCACATTCGCCGCCGCCGCCACCGAGCAACTGCGAAATGATCTTGCCAATCATCGTCACGGCAACCTGCAGGACAACAAACACATTAGATTGGAATCATTCGGTTTGACTTTTCCTTCCTGTTAAAAATGGTTTATCTTAAGGCTCATGTGAAGCCCCACCCTTGACCAATCACTTAATTTGGATGATGGCTGAATACAATTTTTTTTTTTTTTTTTTTACATTTGGAGAATGTGGAGCCCCTGTCCCCAGCCACAAGGTGTCAACATGCAAATTTACTTGACTAAAATTTCAAGTCAGTCTAATTGACATGCTGATGTTCTTTTGGCCTGTTGCTTTTCTGTCAATATACTGTGCACGTCATGACATGTGCCCCAAACATCTCCGTAAAGTCAGCAATGATCTTGACACTTTTATCCTGGCAGTTTTTTTTTTTTTTTAATATGTGCGACATGAATGTTACAGAACATTTAAACTCCGGAATGAATAAGAATAGTTAACTCCACGACAACAATGATTAGCGATGTTTCTGAAGTTTAGGTCTCCCTCTTGTGGCCACCTGCGCACATGACATCAATCAGGACTTGTTCGGTGTTTCACAAAATACGTCACAATGACTTAATATCTTCAAAAAAGGTGAAAAAAACATACATTTGGGTAAGGAGTGACATCCTATACTCTGTACCTAACGCTAACCTTAAAACCCCTTTCGAATGACGTTTCATATTCATATTTACTTTCAGTATGTCATTACAGAGTGAAGGAAACTAATTACGTTTTGCAAGCCCCCCAAAAAAAACACGTAATGATGACATTAAGAGGTACACTACACTTTCCAGTTAAAAAGAGAATGAGGAGCCAGGCTTTGTTTTCTGCTAAAAATAGATTTGACTGTCTTGAGGAGTTTTTTTTATTAACTTATTTAAGTCAAATTGTACATGGAAAACGTAATTTTGTGACTGGAAAAGAATGTGAGACGACTTTCACATATTTGCTTTTTTGCGTCATTTGCCTTCCCCCCTCAAATGGACATGTTCGGACAACAGCTGATGCGACGTTACGGCCGGAGACAAAAAGACAAAGACCGTCCTCGGCGAGTGTGTAAAAATATGTCATTGCTCTCCTCGAAGATGAGAAGAATTTCTAAACTCACCGGACAGGGTGACAAAATATAGTTTATTCTTCTTCTTCTTCTTCTTCTTTAGGGCGAGGTCGTCGAACCGAGTTGATGCTGCAGCTTTATTTTGATCGCGAGCTTGTTTATCCTAAGAGTCCTCCAGCACAGCATCGTTACGTCATCAAGAACCGCCCTAAAAGAGGCGGGAAGCGTCACCGCGACGTCGGTCGTCCTCAGGCAGAACGACAAAGACTAGAATAGTCTCCGAACGTTTTTGAAATCGTTGAAACACATTTTGACAAAATATGTATATTAAGAGAGAACATCGACATTATTAGTCTTTTTGTTGTTGTCATTTATCGCCGAGTGTTTACTCCCAGCGTTCTGCTACGTCATCTCGGGCCGCCTAAAAAGAGGCGGTGTCGCGTTTAGGCACTATATGGCAGCAGTTTTACGGTGGATAGTTTTTTTTTTTTTTTTGGTCTGAGAAACTGTTCCGCTTACAAAAAAAAATTAATGAAATAAAAATCTGAGTGTTTACTACGTTTCTAGGAGGGCTAAAGCGGATAGTTTCATACATGAATCGTGATAAGTAATAGTCACATTTATTTTAATTTGTATTTTTATCACCAAGCCATTCGTACAAGCGTCACCAAAGGTCATCATAAAATTGGGCAAAAGGGTGGGGTTGGGACGTCATTCCGATTTCAGAACGATGTCAATTGTAAATGCAACGATTGCAGTTAATCTCCGCACATTCAGCAGAGTCTGTGCAACATTTTTGATTAAAATACGCAATACAATCAAATGATAGCGACAATTAGTCGGGTTGATGGGATTTCTCAATTGATAGCATTTAATACCGACTAAATGGGTTTTACTGCTTGGTCGGGAACCATCTTGTCACGACTGTTTATGCTCTGAAACAATCCGGAAGTTGTCGACAAAAAGTCCAACATCAACAGGACCAAAGTTTATTGCTACTACACGAGTACCGGTAAGAATAGTTATGCCACGGCTGTTTTAACGCATGAAAGTCACATAAAATAATTGTGCGAAACAGTTCTTAAGGGAAAACGTGATGCGGCTAACCTTTTATTCGTCGAGGAAGCAACTACAAAGATGAATTTGTCGGAATAATTTGAAATCAAAAACGAAACCAATTTAATTGACAACTGTACTTGTATCATCATAGAGAGAGGAAAAATAACTTTTGCGTTATGATTGTTAAACTGTTCAAACGAAACTTTAAAGGTAATGCAGGTAAACACTTCTCTGTCCTCGTTCGACCATTGGGCAACAGTTTATTTTTCGTTTATCGTCAATGTTAATGTAATTGTTGACAACAGGTACTTCGGCATTACAAACACCGACGAATGCAATTCGGAGTCATTACGAATGTCTTCATCCTTTGCTTATTTGTTAGTTTCTGTCTATCAAGACAAGAGATAAGACAAGAGAGGGACCAAGTTGACTTAAAATCTATTTAACGAGAAACTCACTCTGACTTTGCAGGCATGACTTTTTGTGACGCCTACCAAATCGAATGTTATTGAGTCAGATGGTCCTCTGCGGCTGAATATGTATATATATTTTTTTAAATTCATGAGCTTTGACGGACTTCTAGTCAAAAATGATGCAATAATGGCTTCTTAATGCTTTTTGTGTGTGTGTGTGTGTGTGTGTGTATGTCTACCAAGACAAATTGGCATGAAGGTTTCATTTTCAAAAGTTGTGAATTGAAGAAACCCTGGAATTTACCAAGAATTGACCCTAAACTAAAACGGATTTCTCGTGTCTTGTTGGTCTTGATATCGTGAGACCTTTTTGCGGGTCATTACAGTGATGTGTACCTACAACTTTGTTGCTTATTGAAAATGATTTGGGGGGGGGGGCTGAGTTTTCAATTGTCGAGATGCGAGTTCTTAGATTTTGGTGTTTTCTAGTACACTAGGAGGGACGGCGCCAGGAATTCCCCACTCTCCGCTGGGGCGAAATAAGGGCTTGATCGATACATGGGGGGCAAGGGGTGTCTGAGAAAGCAATCCTGTATGCTAAACATGTTTGTCAATTTCTGCAGCGTTGGCAAGATGGCGCCCAGGGTGGACGACGTCATGCGCCTGTGCTGCGACATCTCATCTCATGAGCAAATCAAGGTGGCGGTCAAAGGCTCGGCCAAGGGAGCCTTGATGGCGGGCGGCAGCGCCTTTGTGGGAGGCCTGGTGGGCGGACCGCCCGGCATTGCTGTTGGTAAGAACAACTACAAACTTTTGTGGGCAAGAATCATCAACTATGCCATGCAAATGCAAAGAATTGTGGGAGTTTTTGGCCGATGTAAACAAAGTGTCCAACCGGTGGGTATTTTGTTTACAGACATTATTTCATGAAAATCACATGCGAGCTAACCTGATACTAATCAGTTGGCTAAGGCTGTCGCTTGAGCTCAGTCTTGTCCAATGGGCGATCGCACCTTTGACACACTTTTTGGGAGGATAAAGTTATGCGGGGGAGGTGAGGTTGGAGGAGTCTTTCTCTTTTTCTCTCTTTTCCCCAATAAAAAAAGGAAAGTTACACCATTTTTATGAAAAGTATTTTTTTAAATGCCAGAGGAAGTAAAATGTTGATTGCATATGTTTTTTAAATGTTACTTTTTACTTAAAACGTATTTTGTTGGTTTGGGGATTTTTTTTTTTTCAAAGAAAGATAGTTGTGCTTTTATTTTAACAAAAAAAGGTGTTTTGGCCTTAGAAAAAAAAGTGGTGCATGTCCCACGAAATGGCACATGTGAGTTTTCTCAAAAGAAACACCCACCACCATTTGTCAGAAAGCTAACGACGCCAACGAGGACGGTGAAAGTGAGACAGGGCCGGGAACGCTGCTGTTGCCTGGACTATTTTCAGCCTGCCGGTGCAGCGAGACAGTTATTTGTGGGCAGGGGTTATTTGTGGAAATTATTTGTGGCTTGTGGGACCTTCCCACCACGCAAACCACAAATAAATGTGGCGGTCGTGACAGGAACTGTTTGCAAACGGCTGCGAGGTAGAATGAAAAGAGAAGCAGGTACATGACGTTCAGGATTTTTTTTTTTTAAACATGAGTGGGTGAGAAAACAACGTAGCTCCACTGTATATAGCCGAGCATTCAAGGGCAGAAAAGCAGTCTGAAGCAAAGGAAGGATGGATGCAAAAAGTGGCTCTGACGGAAGAAGGTAGGAGGGAAGGAATGAAAGGAGAAAAAGTATGTTTAAGCAGAGAAGGATGATACATAAATTAAAAAAATAACAGGTGTGGTGAGACGGGGGGAGGAACGCCAGCGTGGAAAGTGGATCTGGAGGGAAGATGAGCAGGAAATGGTTTGATGTGGGAGGAAGGTCCGGAAGGAAAACATGCCATGGGGGAAAAGTGGACTTGATGGTAAGGGAGGCAACAATGCAAGTTTAATCAGAGGAGGGATTTCTGATGAAAAAAAAAGTCAGAACGATTGGTGGTCAGGAAGCCAAATATGCCAAGGGGACAGCAGCCCCGTAGGGAAGGACGAAAGGCAGACGATGAAAAGAATACGATGGGGAGGACGCCAGAAGAGTACCTTTCGGCCAGGGAAAGACGGAACCGAGAATGGGGAAGGAAGGAAAGCAAAGGCAGATTGGAGGTGGGAGGCCCGGGCGGCGGAGAAAGGACGCAAGGCCGCAGGTGTGCGTTTGGAGCGAGTGCTGAGCGTTGTTGCCGTTGCCTCCACCAGGGGGCGTGGTGGGCAGCCTGCTGGCGGCCTGGGTGTCGAGCGGCCAGTTCCGCCCGCTGGCTCAGATCCTGGCCGAGCTGCCCCCGGCGCAGCGCGACAAACTGTGCCGGGACGTGAGCGCCGTCCTGGCCGGCTTGAACTGGACGGACGCGGCGCAGCTCGTCGCCTTGGTGACGGGCAACGCCACGCTGCAGCAGCAGGTGCTCGCCGCCCTGCTCAACTACGTCACCAGGGAGCTTCGAGCCGAGGTGCGCTACAAAGACTGACGCGCCCGCCCCGCCCCGCCCAAAGCAAAGCCCCTCGACCGACCGGACCGCTGCTTTTTTTTTTTTTAGCAACTTCACGCGTTGAAACTTCCCCATCATCCTTGTTCCTATTTATTACTATGCCATGTCAATTTCATAAAATGCAACACGGTGACCACTTTGTGTCGATTATTCTTTTTTTTTTTTTTTTTTTTCAAATTCCCCTTGTATGCCTGATGAATTGATTTTTGGATGAAAGTTTTCATGTTTTCCACAACCAAGAGTGGCGTTCCACTGGCCCAACTTGTGCGCGGGCAACACGGGATCGGTTCCCACTCTGTGACGGTGTGGATGTTGGCTGAAAATGGCTGCTTGTCTCTCTGGGGGCCCCCGCGACTGACTGGCGACCGGATCAGAGTGTAGTGAAATCTTGTCTTGTAAAGTTTTCCCCACTTCAGTTGCATAGTCAGGTTCACGAGTGGCCCTTTTTGAGGAGAAGGCTTTTATTTCCAAACAAAACCACTCTTAAGGCAGCGAGGAGCATTAGAAAATAGAAATATCGCACGTAAAGTGTGTGAAATGCATTCAGGTAGAAATTGTGAGGCAGTGTGCTCGTGCTTCACGTAGAAAGGCACCAATGGGAGCTCCGGGACAAAGTGTGCGAGTGCGTGTTGCTTAAAAAGCCGACAAAACAACAACAGTGTGAGATGTTAAGGCACCCTTTGTCGTGCTGATGTCGTACTCACATGTAACATGGTGACAAGAGGACAAGACCCTTCTTAAAAAAAAAAAGAAAAAACTCAGTAACAGTGTGCTCAGCCACGGGTCAGCACGTTGGGGCGATGGACGCCTGCGCTGCGAGTCAAAGGCCGTAAAGCTATGTGCCAAAAATCCATTTAAAAAAAAACAAACTTACAAACTGTTCACAGAAGCTTCTAGAACTGATCTGAGAGCAGATCACAAAGTCGCTGAGACACGCTGTCGCGGCTGGTCCGCAGGGTCAGACGATACATCTGACGAGACAAACGTGCGCACTTGTTATGACCTCAAACAAGAGATCATCAAAAAGAATTTCCTGCATGTGAGCGTGTGCGCGCACGCGTTACCTGCGCCTGCGTGTTGGGCTCCAGCCGTAGAAGACATCCCACCTGAGAAGTTTTGGTGTGAACCACACCAGCTCCGACAAAGTTTGCCGGGTTGGGGTCCACGGCCTCCAGCAGCGCCACGCCAAAACCTAAAATCTAGCAAACCACAACAACAAGCGTTAACAACAAAACAAGAACATCGCCGCTGGCCTGTGAAAAGCATGTCCATTTTTGTCTTCTTTTTTTTTTTGTTTTATGTTCACGCTTCTATTCCCCATGACGTACAAAAATGTCAAGAAAAACCACGACCTACTCATGACATATTTATACGTCATTGATGTATTTTTTTTTTTTTTTGCGTGGTGCAGAAGGGTCTGCCGCAGCCTCTGACCGAGGATCAGGCTCGTCTGCATTGCAAGTCATTTCAAATATGTCCAGCAGGTGGCAGCGATCGGCCAGGATGCATTGGTTGTGGCCGAGTAGCTTGTATCGTGAGTAGGGAGTGTATTCCAAACCCGTCGCGATGAAGATATCAAAACAATTAGCCCGTGAGGATTGCTCTTGGCGAAGAAAATCCTCCCCCGTGACCAGGGAGATGGAGTTGCTGAATGCAGCACGTCGCGTTTGTCTGTTCGCGGTTCATTTCATCAGTTCACGAGCGCGCAGATCAATATTTTTGCAACCAGAAGCCCTTTTGTGGTGTTGCTTTGTCGACGGAAAGTCCGATTTCGATGTGCGAAACGCATGCTTTGACAAAAACGTCTTTTTTTTCCCCTCAGAAAATGGAAATCTGATCAAATGTATCAATTTTCTAAAAGACAGAAACAAACTTTTTTTTTCGGCTGAAAGAAGGCAGTCTCGGCTTTCTTTTGGCGGGTCGCATGGTTACATCCCCATGGAACCCAATCATCTATGGGCCTCGCAAATCGGTCAAAAACGGCTTTGCCCCACTGACGGTGGCTGCGATTGAAGGAGTCAATGGCCGACACCCTATTCAGGTGAACCTTTCGAAAATGACAAAAATGCACTTGGGTGTTCTTCGCAGGACGCCAGCGACACATTAACTTTGACGGCCTTCTTCAGCAAAACACATCGACTGATTTTCATTTTGTCAAAAGTGTGGAAAGCCCACCTTGGCCTTGGTGACCTCGCTGTCCATGGCGTGTTTGGACTTGAAGATCTTCTGGACTTCCTGCTGAGGACTGCAACCGAGGAAATGTGGGAATGGCTTACACTTGCCAGGTGTCTACTTTTGTAAAAGGGGGTGGGGGGGGGGGTAATGTGTGCGCGTGATGCTCACAGGCCGAGCTGCTTCCAGCGTTGGAAGAAGTCTTGCGACGTCATCTCAGTGGGCTGGAAGAACTTGTTGAGCATGACGGGGAGTTGGACCGAGATGTTTTGTGGGGCGCCGCCATACCTGCGCACACGCAAGCGCCGCTCAGTGCATCAACTTGCAATTTGGGACCAAGCCGTCTCGCGCAATTTCCAGACTTTCTGTTGTTGCGACATTTAAATGTCAGGCAAGTCTGACAGGTAGAGGTGCGCACGTTCAGTGTCGCACTAAGCTGTGAACCCCCCCCCGAATATATTTCACTGGACTCCAAAGCAGCAGTAGAAAAATCTCAAATATTGTCAGTGCAAGCAGATGCATCTGACTTCTGTTGAGAACTTCATAATCAAAGGCTGTGAATACTTATATTTTGTTTGTTTCATAAACTTGCAAAAATCTCCCCAAAAAAAGGGAGTTAAAAAAAAAAGTGGTCATTTATGGAACGCGCGAATATGAGCACGCGAGGGACGAGCGACGCACCTGAAGTGGATGCTGAGCAGCGGGGCGTCGCTGAACTCCGACACGCATTCGATGTTGAGGATCTGCTGGACCTGAGCGCCGCCCTCGATGACGGGATCCACCGCCTTGGCGTGGACGTTCACCTGTGGATTCATTGCTCAAGAAAGAACGCGCTTCCAGACAAAACGCCGCCGCTGGTAACCCCAAAGAAGGTGCATCTCCATTTGCAAATCCCAAATCCTCCATCGAAAGAAATTTGAAGATGACCACTATAAATATCCCCAAAATGGCCCTCTGAAATAACTGCACCAAAGAAACTACCAATTAAAAAAAAAAAAAAAAGTGAGCATTAGAAAGGATATGAGCTTTCAGGGTGTCCTGACTGGTCACGGACGAGGAGAAGCTGACAAACTGACTGGATGTCTTGTTGCCAAAGAACACGTACATGCGACCTGGAGGGCCACATTTGAAATGGAGATGAAAGCACCGTTCGCTTAGTCAATCGCTGTGCGTGCGCCCGCGTGCACGTTGTGTCCCCTCCGCCCTGCAATGTTGTGCGCATGCATGCGTGCGCCTCCTTCCCCCTGCAGTTGATGCATATTTTGTGTGTGTGTGTGTGTGTGTGTGTGTGTGTGTGTCTTCTGCAGCTTGATCCTGGCTGATCGCTGCCACCGGCTGGACAGATTTTAAATAATTTACAACCGAGGAGAGCCTGATGCCGAGTCAGAGCCTGTGTCAGACCCGTCCGCACACTAGGACGTAAATGAAAAGAGAAATGCCAAAGACGTAAAAATACGTCATGGGTCGGCGGCTGTAGTGGTTTTTCAAGACGTAGATATAAATCGCGAGGAATGAAATGTACGCATGTGCTTTGTCCTGACTAGTACATGGACTATTCTGCACACACATAAAATGCCGACGTTTGACAAATAATCCAAGTAGAAATGTATAACGTTACGGGCAGTACAAGGAGCATGTAGGTGTCAACTAGTGCAGTTTCACCTCACTACGGTAACATGTCGTTTTGCTAGCACACAGAACACACACACAAACACACACCCCGCTGAAACTTTGCTCACGTTGGTCTCAGCAATTCCGACTGTGATTCTAAAAATCCTGCTGGCGGCCCTAAGCGGGCCGCCGCTATCACAGCGGCGTCTCATCAACTTCCCAAGTGTGAGGGACCGCTCACTTTGTCAGAATGCTGACATAGAAGGGGAGGGCCCGGGCCCCCATTTGCATACTGCACCGGACCGGAACGAGTCCTTTGCTAAGGTTCCCCGAGGAATGAACGGAAGCTGCTCGGCGCTCACCCAGGTTCTGCCGGTACTCGGACTTCAGGCCAATCTGCAATAGTTGATTCTCATAGAGAACGCCGTTGTTCTTGCACACAAACCTGCATGAAGAGAAAAACAAACCCACCCGGCGGTGTTCCATCACATCCGGGTGGATTTGTTGGGAGTCCAAAGTTCTGTTTGATACTTTAAGACAGCAAGCCTCATCGTTGTCCAAAAATCTGATGGTGCCGCATTCGGTCTTTGTGTCACCGGCATTACCGGAAGCTGTCGGATTGTTTTGAGGCCTCAAAGGGAATTTGGAGATTTACCGTGTTCCTTTTTTGCCACAACAAACCTGCTGAAACTCTCGTCAGAGACGTCGGGGGGAGGGGCGGAGGCGGGGTCAGGCGGTGCTTCGGAGAACACGTCCACCAGCAGACTGGAGTTGGCTGCGGGGGGCGAGTTGAGGTTGAGCAGGTCGTTGAAGGGATGTGCCGAGTTCTGCGCCAGAAACACACACGTCCAAAGTCATTTGGAAAGTTGAGCTTTTCCTCACAGAACAGCGTCGGGTTTTAGCTGCGTGGCGGCGGCGGCAACATTCCGCTGGAACACTTGACCAACGATGACAAAAAGCAATGTTAGCTTGAGTACAAGCAGGGCACACACACACACACACACACACACACACACACACACACACACACAGGACAATTTTTAACTCATTCACAAAATGGAAATTTTGAGGGGGGCGAAAAAAATCCAATTGTATATGATGTGAAAGCTCAAATTAGAAACAACGGCACCACAGAGCGTCCTTGGAGTGAAGGAGTTTGTGTCACTCTGGTGAGCAGAAAGGAAAGTGTGTCGCGGTCAAGAGAACCGATGCCAGTTGATGAAATGAAAAACAAAACGCAAACGGCATGTCAAAAGAAAACGGCCACAAATGTTCCGGAGTCAGCTTCACACAACATGCGTTTCTTATTTGGATTCAACGGCCTGTAAATAAACACGCTTCAGGGTGGGGAGAGGACATTCCCGCTGGGGGAAATACATGCTCGGCCCCCACCCTCCGAAAAAGATCGACAACCAAACGGACGGCGAGACGCGCAGAATTCCGACTCTCCAATTTGCCAAAGATGGCCCCTTGGAATGGGAGAACGTTCCGTGCGCACTTTACAAAGCCGCATTGAATTACAAGCTCTCGAATCGTCTCGGGAAACTCATTTGAGGTGTCGGAAGAGTTCCGTGCGCGCTTTACAAAGCCGCATTGAATCGTCTCGGGAAACTCATTTGAGGTGTCGGAAGAGGCGGGAACGCAACACAAACATTATTAACCGGAGAAAAGAGTTCACGTATAGAATCATAGCATGAGCCGCAGGAAGCGGAAATGGCTGCCGTGATGTCAATTTACAATGGCGTTCGTTCGTTTCGACACATTCAAGGGTGACCGCGTTCAAAGAATCATCCTAAACAACGCTGTCGTGGCCGTAGCTGGAAAAAAAAAACAGGAAGAGGGTGGTCGCATTCCAATCAAATCAACAATGGCGTTATTGGAACACCAACTTATTTCTTTTTAAAAAATGAGTTAAGGTGACCATTTGAGCAACTCACAACACTGCAAACATCATTGGGCCCGAGTTCAGATGCAAACTTGGCATGAGGCACACCGTCGTCCTTGCATAGGCACTCGTTCGACGGCGCGGCCGCGTCTAATGCGGCAGAGAGAATACTACGGCGCCAAGATACCGTCGTGCCGGCACCGCGCACGGCGGGAATAGAGCGGGCGGGCCGCGGCCTGTTGGCGGGAGGCGCCATCATCAGTGAAGGAGAGCACTGATGGAGGCAGAAAACAACAACAACAAACCAAGAAGGAGTCAGCGGAGAAGGCGAAAGCAAAGCGAGCGCGGGACGCCGGCATTACCGCGGTGGCGTCGGCCTCGCCGCCGTTCTCGCCGTCGCCGTGTTCCGCGGCGCCGTTCACGTTGCGCCTGGTGTCGTCGACGCCGGTCACATTGCCGGGTCCTTTCTTCTTCTTCAACTTGGCCAGGATGGAGGACTCCCTCTCCGGGAAAGGAGGCATTTCCTCCAAGACGGTGGCCTGCGGAGGCCAGAAAAAAGAGGCAAAAGTGCCGTCAGATTGCAGTCGTGAGAACGTCATCCAAATCATTCAAGGGATTGCGCGTCGTGCTTTATTGCGGAAATTCAAGTCATTGCGCCGCTCCTCCTGGCGTGCCCGCCTCGGCCGCCGGGCGGCGGTATCGTGCAATAGCCGTCCGTACACGCGCGACCCAGGAAGACCAGCTCGACTTTGTCAAACGACATTGACACCAAGTTGGCTAATTAGCGACTAGCTTTGCAGTTAGCAAAAAGTAGTGTGAGTTGAGATGCTACGTACAATTTCCAACATTTCGCCTTTTGTTCCGAGTCCCTTTTGAAATACTGCACAGCACATTACGATTGTGTGCGCGCCGCGTCCTAAGTCGGAGGGCAGCGTCTTCCGAAACCGATCGAAGAACGACGTACGTAGGACATGCCACGCTATGCGGCGAGACCAACCAAATTTGGACATGGCAGCGCTACGTTTGTCCGCGACACGTCGTTCGTCTCAATGTCGAGCGAGGTCTGTGCAGCCCGAAGTCATCTCGAGATGCTCCGCGATTTGTCAACTGTTGTAGAGGACAAAGAACATTAGCTCGCAATGTGTTTCTCCGCCTTGCCGGGCGGCAGTATCGTGCAATAGCCGTCCGGACACGCGCGACTCAGGAAGACCAGCTCGACTTTGTCAAACGACACGAATTTGACACCAAGTTTGCTAATTAGCAACTAGCTTTGCAGTTCGCAAAAAGTAGCGTGAGATGCTACGTACAATTTCCAACATTTCGTCTTTTGTTCCGAGTCCCTTTTGAAATACTGCACAGCACATTACGATTGTGTGCGCGCCGCGTCCTAAGTCGGAGGGCAGCGTCTTCCGAAACCGATCGAAGAACGACGTACGTAGGACATGCCACGCTATGCGGCGAGACCAACAAAATTCGGACATGGCAGACTTTTCGGCCTCGTTGACAATGTCACACGACAGGGCCACGGCACGTCGAGACAACTCCCAATCGGCTCCCGAGACGCTACGTTTGAGACGCTACAAACGACGTGTCGCAGACAAATGGAGCGTACGTTTGTCCGCGACGCGTCGTTCGTCTCAATGTCGAGCGAGGTCTGTGCAGCCCGAAGTCATCTCGAGATGCTCCGCGATTTGTCAACTGTTGTAGAGGACAAAGAACATTAGCTCGCAATGTGTTTCTCCGCCATTTTGTGTCCGAGCATCCGTCGCTTTGAAAAAGCCATCGACGAGAACGGTGAGCATTGCGTGGCCATTTTGCACGCTGTGCGAGCGTCGCGCTAAAGGCCAACTATACAAAACATGTCATTCTCTTCTGAGTCAGCTTCTGCCGGTTGCGCTGAGCTTGAAGCCTCCGTTTGGGGACAAGTTGTGTTGTCCTGCGTGCCAAAGTGCCGCTGATGTTGAGCATCAGTGGAAAGAGGAGACGACGCGTCACGTTGGCGGCAGGACGCGCACCAGGATGTCGGTGGTGGCGATGCAGCTGAGCCTCAGGTACTCCACGGCTCTCTGCTGCAGCTCCACGTCGGCGTTGCGCAGCTGGCTGTCCGAGCGCAGGACCTCCTGGATGGTGCTCTTCACCTCCGGGAACAGGTTGATGAACTTGATGTAGGCGGACAGCAGCAGCGCGCGCGTGGGCACCGAGCACAGGTGGAACTTGGAGTGCAGCAGCTTGAACTGGACCAGCGGGCTGAAGGACGACAGCCACCGCAACACGCCGGAGTTAGCCCACAAGGATCGCTTGCGCTTTATTTTTATTTGAGTCGAGGGCGCCTGCGTCTTTTCAGGGCCAGCGAGCAGGCCAACTATCGAGTTCCGTACGTAACCCGTGGTTTCGCTTTTTCTCCGTCGTGTCAAGGAAGTACGACGAGGAGGAGAAGAGTCGGTACCTGGAGCGCGGATCTCCCGCAATCAGGTTGCCAAACTCCCCCAAGATGTAGCCTCCCACTTTCACCAAGTTCTCGTGACAGGCGGGTGCTTGAAGCGCCTGCGAACAATTCACCGGCCGTGACGCGGAGGCCCGGGACGGCATCCGGCGGCGCGCTCGCCGGCTCGTCGGCGCTCACCTCAAAGACGGTCTTGGCGGCGTAGCCCTGCACGTCGTCTCGGTTGATGACGATCTGGATGACGCGATACCACACTTCCTCGCTCACGTGGTCCCCGGCCATGCGAATGAGGTTGAGGATGGTGTCCACGTACCAGGTGTAGTCCACCGCGTACTTCTCGGCCAAGATGGCCACCTTGAGCACCTGCAGGGGGGGGGGAAACGGAGAGGGAAGTCTTGCGGAAAGCGTTGACGTCGCACAGAAAAGGCGTACGCGCCCCCGTTCGAGTGCCTGAATTTGGTGATATCAAAGGCGAAGACTCTGTTGTATCATTTCAACATTTTCCCGCCACGGTTTGTGACATATAACCAGGCAAAAAATAACATAAAAAGCATTTTGGGGGGGGACTGAAATAAACGACTGAGATGACGGAGCTGCACAAGTGTGCACACGCCCAACCTGTTCGAAATGAGAATGTGGCTGTGTTCACAATTAGGCATTAGTCACATTCAAAGTCAGATGGGTCAGCGCGCCGCCGCCACAATTTTGAACGGATCCAAATCAAGTTCCGTTGTTCGAGTAGGCCTTTAGTGACATTTTTTTTTGAAACCTTCTCGCAGAAGCCTGTCTGGTATTTTGAACCGGTCATAATTCCCTGCATCTTCAACTGAGTTGTACAGGTCATAGGTCACATTACTGATGGGGGTGGGGGATTCGTGCTCTTGCTTCTTCTATTTTTATTTTTGAACGAACGACAGTTGAACGAGGGCCTGTCGACTTTTCGTATCCACATTAGCGTGACGCATTTCTTGTGTGTTGCCTGAATTGTGTGTCCGGGAAATTCGATTCCGGCCAGACCAACAGCTGGTCTGGTCAAATCGTCACGCTTTCTACTTTCATGACCTTCTTCAAGTATGCGCTCCAATCTTGCCGAGAGTCAGTTGTTCTCATTAAGACGTATTCCCGACACGGGGACAAGTCATTTTCTTCTGAGGCAGGAACCCTCGGAGCGAGACGGCAGAGCGGAACGCTACGTGAACAGGCGGGGTGAAGGCGCGACGTACGATCTCCTCTCTGATGGAGTAGTCGGCGTTCTCCAGGTAGCTCAGCATCTCCGCCACAATCTGCTTGGCGTTGCTGCGGTCGCACATGGCGTAGAGGAGGTCCAGCGCACGCTGGCGAACGCTCACGTCCCGCTCCGTCTACCGCACAACAGATTGCGAAAGACGATTTTCATGAACGTGACCAAACAGCGCACGTAACACGAAGGCAGCTCAGGGGAAAAAAAAATGGATGTAAAAATTCATTTTACCCGTACGACCAATCACAAGGGAGCTGTACGTATTCATAAACTCCAAGCAATTTTGTCTGCTTGCTTATTCCCACAACAACTATATGCAAATTGGCTTTTTCGGTCAGAAAAAAAACACATTTCGATACGTTTCATTTGTATTTTAATCTAAGTGTTATGACTGTTGAAATGCATTGGGGGGGAAACTTTTTTTTTTTTTACACCCCCAAAATATTTCCCAAAACGCTGCTAAATATTCAATATTTTTATTCTAGTCACACACATTTTCAACAAAAAAAAAAAACAGCGCAAAAGAAACCTTTTTTTTTTTTGTTGTTGAAAACCAACATGTGATTGTGGTTTTTTTTTTTTTTTTGAATGATGATGGCTACTCGTCATCATTTTGAAATCTGCGCGCAGTCGACTTGCGGTTGCCTTTCGGCGGTTGGCCAAAGAGCAGCGGCAGGCGCGGCTCACCTTGAGAGCGTTGATGACGGTGTCGATGTGCGTCTTGACGGCCTCGTGGGAGAACTCGGAGCTGGCCAGGGTGCACATGCTCTCCAAGGCCAAGTAGCGCAGGTTGGTCTCGCGGTGCTGCAAGAACTGACCCAGCTGGTTGCACGCTCGCACCAGCAAGGTGGGCTCGCTGTGGGACAACAGCGCAAAAAGACTTTTTGGACGCTTCAAGACCGAGCCTCGGCATTCTGCCACGGCACCACGAGCAAACATATCCGGACATCGTTTGAGCCAAGTCGGAGTGTTTTTCGGAAAACGGGGCAAAGGCTTCTTCTCGACCGCCGTGGGCCACTTTGAATGTGCCGAGAACAAGATTTTATGCCTCCATTGCGCTCCGCCACGCTGGCGCGCGCCACGTGGGCTCCGAGTGTGTTTGCCGAAGGCCTCCATGGGGAGACTCGCACCTGTCGTGGTGGATGATGAGCGAAATGGCTTCGAAGAGAACGGCGTTCTTGGCGTTGGAGTGCTGAACCTTCTTGGACTTGGGAGGCTCCTGGGCTTTGTTCAAGATGGTCTCCAGACATTCCGCCAAGCGACTCCGCAGTGCCGCGTCCTCTGTGGACAACATTGGAAAGATAAAGTGGCCCGCTTGCTTTGCGGAGTCTGCGTATAATTTGGAGTTGAATCCAAAATGGTCGGTGTCAAAAGTCACGACACTCGGGAGTTAGGATTTTTTTTTTTTTTTTTTAATTATGGCCAACGAAAAACGAAGAGACATAATCATCATCATGATATGATTCCAAATGATCTTGGCTTCAGAAATGAGGCGCGAGTTGGCCTTTCTCCAAAGTGTTCAGTGAAACTCGATTTTTCTATTTGCACGCAATGAACTTTTCCGCAATACTCGAAAGGATTGCATCCGCGTGTCCGATGGCTCGCGCGGTTTCGAAAACGACCATGGAATTGAATGAAGTTGCAAATCCGCAGTCCGTCAATTTTCAATGCGAATATCGACGCCGTGTCGTCGCCGCCGCTCGTCGAGTCGCATGCCGCGCGGCTCAGACCGGGGGGCGCGCACGCGCAAGGTGCTTCAAGCAGAAGTACCGGGTGGAGGGTAGCACTGCAACAGTCTCAGCAGCTTCACGGAGAGCCACGGCGCTGCCACAAAGTAGTACGTGTAGTCCTGAAGGTCGATGGAGGCCGACGTCACAATCTGGACAAAATATCGTATCCAAACATGTTTGAATAAAGGCAGGTTTTTTTTTTTTGGGGGGGGGGGGTTGTTTCTTTTTTTCCAACTCGCTTCGGAGTGACACCCACCCTGCTGAGTCGGGCCACCGCCAACGCCGCGGACGTTTTGAAATCATCCGGACTCTTTTGGGCCAGCCTGCTGATGAGGCTGGTGGCCGCCGTCACCACCCCCTGAAAAACAAACAGCTTTGGTCTTTGAAGGAGAATCGAAAAATACATCGAAAAAGTCTGCGGATCTCGCGTGAGAGAGAGAGACGGGCGGCGGTCTCGTGTGACCAATCGCCGTTTATCCTTGACACACCGACATCGGGTTTTTTGGGGGGTTTTTTTGGACGCAGTGCCGCCGGAGGGATGAAACGCCGCCGGCATTCAATGTGGCTTTTGGCTTTTCCATGCCGTGACTTGGCCACGCTCTCCGGACCTTTCCGGGACGTAGATGCTGAACTCCTTTCGAAGGCTCAATTTGATTTGGTGAGTGGGAAGCCGGGGACCCGGCCGGCCTCGCCTGAGCTTTGGCCCTCTCGAGTTGGACGTGGCTGTGAAAAGTGTTACCAGGTGCTGGTCGTTGAGCAGGTGGACCACCCTGGACGTCCACTCGCCCATGGGCACCAGGTCGGGTGACGTCTTGTTGAGGCGAAGGAGGCAAAGCGCCGCGCTCTGCTTCACGCTGTCCATGGTGTCCCTGCAAGGGGCAAGAACAGGCGGCTCACTCTTTTGTCCTGGGAAGAAAAGTCGTTCGGGGGAGAAAGCCGGATCGTCCCAAGAAAACGTCGGGTTATGATATTCAAGTCAAAGTTTAACGGTGAACGAAAGCCTGACTTGAACAAGTCCATTCTACCGAAATAGAACATCAACCTTTTAATTTTCACGGGAGAAAGGGCATCTTATTTTTGTCAATAAAATAGAATTCTAGTCTGGAAAAAATACATGTAATGCATTTTTTTTGGGGGGGGGGGCTGTTCTAACATTCTTACACTTAATTAAATATTCATGCAATCCTGTCACAGCTTTATGTTACAAAGGACAAAAAGGTATTTTGTCTGGATACGTTGAAATCTTCGAAGAATAAAGACATACGTGGACAAGGTCAAAGTCTTGATATGATCAGAAAGTTCACATTTTCTCGAATGTGGAGAAAGTCACAACTTGGGCAAAAATACATTACTTTTATTCTGGAAAGAAAGAGTGCCTTCACTCCTGCTCCCCACCCCCCAAATAACTCAAAAAATTAAAATGTTATTCTAAAGGAAAAGAAGTAAAAAAAAAAAAATCACTTGTAATTCAATCTTTTCACCACCCTATCAGGGCTTTAAATTTCAAGTTTCGCAATTGGTGGATTGCTTTGTTGTATTAGCATGCGGTCGCCTACATGTGCAAAAGCACTTTGATTTTTTTATTTAAGTGACATCATTTCCCACAAAATGCCGTTGACAACCAGCGCGGCGACGGCGGAGAAGACTCGCACGCACCCGGCCACGAGGATGCGGGGGATGTCGGAGGCGAAGGCCTCGGCCATCTCGCGGCTGCCCACGTTGGCGATGCAGTGAAGCGCCAAATTCATGAAGGTGGGGTTGCGGCTGCTCAGGTCGTTCTTGATGGCGTTGTTGATCAGGCGGATCAGGTCGCTGTTGGAGTTGACCAGCACCGAGATGAACAGGTAACCCTGAAGGCGACACGGCCCACAACAACACATTCAAAGACATTCTGTGAGACGTGGTGTTTAACCGACTTCAAGCAGTGGAATGGAGTGCAATTTCTAAACCTTTTTTTTGGGGGGGTGGGTGGGGCACTGCATCAGAAACGATTTGACGAATTTTGAGTTTCATCTGGTAATACCGACACTGATGTTCAGTTTACCCATTGCGTGCTTACAATTTGTTTCTCCGTGTACTTGTTGGAACTGAGCAGGTTGACGGCCTCCATGTGTCCGAAGTCGATATCGTGGCCCAGAAGGAAGATGAATAGCAGCTTGCAAACGTATTTCTTCTTGCTGTAGCCGTCCAGAGCCTTGTCGCCTGTGAAGAGATGAAAACAACATCAGCGCTTTACCGGGAAGGAGACATCCTGTTTGTGCTCCTCTTTCAAGTGTCTTCAACTAGAGTTTGATGTAAAAAATCGAATCAAATGTCAAACGTAGCCAAGTGGTGCAGTTTGGAAGTAGAGACGACATGACGGCATTGCCCCACTAAACGGCAGTTCACCATTCGCACCCCACTAGATTGGGGATGTTTAATCCATGTTTTGTTTTGTTTTTTTTCTTCCACCGATTTCAGACAGTCACGACTGAATTTCAAGTTGCTTGCTTTTAGTGTAGTACCACAACATGCAGGGCTGCACCAAGCTCGACTGAAAGAGATTCAGCTGAATGAAGAGCAAGAAGAAGAGGCGGAAAAAGGTCTCCTCTCACTTTCCAGTCATCATTGGTTGTTCCCACAGAGCGTATATGCACACACTCTTGTCAGTTACCTTTAAATTTTGATCTGATGTTCGCCAGTTCCTTGTTGATCCTTTTGATCTCCGCCTCTTTACTTTTACCTGAAAAAAAAAATGTGAGTTAAACTCAACTTCCTCTTGGATCAGTTGAGGTTTTGAGCATTAATTGTTTTATTCTTGATAGCTACCTCACATTTGCTTCCAATGTCAAGACTTTGTTGCCAGGAGTTGTGAATGTGAATAATGTCACATTTAACATGACTGGACTTGTCACAAAAACGGTCATCTTGACTCATTGTTCGCTATTATTTATGGAAAGAACTTGGTGAACTGGAGATACGCGAGTACAATGAACACTTGGTGACTTTGTGAAACGTTCGTTGGCCAAGGTATTTGCAAAACGGGGTGAATATTGCATCGGATATTTTCTTTGCATTGGTCAAGCAGATTTCTTTTCGCTCATTTGAAATATCAATCGTTTTGAAAAAGGGGCGGGGGGCATTGGGCGACATCCCATTTCCTGTCATTTGCCATTCGTCAATTGTAAGAATTCATTACAATGTGATACCGCAACAGTGTGAGACTCCGACTGGTCACAGAAATGATTGCTTTTGTGGATCAAATCAATTCCAAAGCGGTTACTAGGTCAAATATCCTCGAAAGGGCGTCTGTCGTCTTCAAAGTGGGACTTTTGGCGTATCAAAGTGGCGGTCACGCCCTTCGTCGTGACGTTAGCGGCTTCCAGCTAAGAGCTAATTAGCTCGCCGGCTAGCTGTCAAAAAGTTTGGAATTTGCACTTCAAACATACGAATTTTCAGGAAGGAAAGTTGCGGATTCACTCGATAGTGTGCACAAGCGACTCCACTGTGAAGAGTTGAGCACGTCATCAAGACTCTTTTGATGTTATTCGGCGGCTAAGGTGGATAAACTTACAGTTCCTGATGTCGGAAATGAACACGGCCAGGCCGCGCATTCCGTCCCCTTTCGACACCGCCGGCATGTCGGCGTTTCCCCGCTAAAGCCAAACGTCGTGTCCCCTCGTCCACACTCGCTTCCACCGGGCCAAAAGCAGTGGCAAAGCCGGCCAGCAAGCGACGGCGGGCGGCTCGAGAGGCTTGAGAGGCTTCGGCGTCCAGGAAAGGATCCAGTCAGGAAGCATACCGGCCGCGCTCCCTACCAAGCGAGACACGCCCTCACGTGGGCCGCGCTCCATTTTGTTCACTCCAAATTCCCTTGAGACAATGTGAGTGGGCGGTTTCCATATGATCTTTAGATCACCCGTACATCCGTAATGCGAACTCATTATCCTGATTGATTGATTGATTGGTTGATTGATTGATAGATAGATAGATAGATAGATAGATAGATAGATAGATAGATAGATAGATAGATAGATAGATAGATAGATAGATAGATAGATAGATAGACAGACAGACAGACAGACAGTGTAATCCGGTACTTTTTCATGGCCTAAAAATATCCAGTGCCACACAAACTTCTGACAAAGAAATGTAAAAAAAAAAAAAAACGTTTGAAACGATTCGAAAAGTTTTGATGTGTGTTATTATTACCATTAATGGCGCAAGCGCGCTTGGGTAAACGCCGACGTAGGTGGTGACGTTCGGACGCTTTACGGTGACGTCATGACGTGGTTCCTACTTGGTTGTTTGCCGGTGGAAAACCAAACACGATCTTCCTCAGAACTTGTTCAGCACCAATTTAGCCCAGCACTGGCCCTGGTGGAAAAGGGGTGTGAGCGCTCCGGGACGGGAGAGAGGCCAATGGAAGCATACGCAGCATCTTGAGCACAATAAGAACGATACATGCTTTCACATCAGTCTCCAATAACAACAGTCGCTAGATTGGTCGCCAGTTGCTTTTTTTTTTTTCGAAAGCGTCACCCTATGGGCCTGAAAACTCGCTAAATATGGCGGGAAAGTGGCTAATCTGGCAGAACAACACTGCCACTAGACTTGTCAACAAATTATTTTTCCATTTATTTCAGATAAATGGCATCTTACTCTAAAACACAGAGAGACATCGAGACATAGCTTATTTCATATCATACTAACAAGGGAGTGTTTCACACGCCCAAAAAAAAAGAGAGAGACAGAGAGAGAGGGGGTGGGTCTCAGATTGTGTACGAAGAGGAGCGGGAAGAACAAAGTCTTTTGGAATCCCACCTCCCCTTTCTCATCAGTATTCATACAAGAAGCTTCTTTGGCGCTTCCTGCAAAATAGGCGCCATATTGCTGAGACAACGCTTGGCGGGAGAAGAGGTCATGACTGAAATGACAAAATCTAAAAATGGTCATGTCAGAAGCAACAGATGTTAATTTGACTGGCTGATGTGGCCTGAAACACATTCCGTGTTTGTTTTGACATACCTGGCCAACAACGAGGACGGCGGATTATCTTCGGCGTGTGTCTTTGCGTGCTTAATTAAACTTGAGCTGCGAGTGAATCGTTGACCACAAACTGAGCAGAGAAAATGTTTTTCTTCAGCGTGTGTTCTCCTGTGAGCTGTCAAGGTGCTTCTTTGAATGAATCGCCTCCCACAAACGGAGCAGACAAAGGGTTTTTCCCCGGTGTGCGCTACCGCGTGCCTTGTTAAATCACCCTTATGAATAAATCGCTTACCACACACTGAACAGGCAAAAGGTTTTTCCCCAGTGTGGGTTCTTCTGTGTACGTTTAAATGTCCCCTCTGTCGGAATCGTGCGCCGCAAAGTGAGCAGGCAAAGGGTTTCTCCCCAGTGTGTGTTGTTGTGTGCACTGTTAAATATCCCTTTTTCGGAAAGCCTTTACCGCACACTGAACAGGCAAAAGGTTTTTCTCCAGTGTGTGTGCTTGTGTGCGCTTTCAAATGGCCCTTCTGTCTGAATCGTGAGCCGCAAACTGAGCAGGCAAAGGGTTTCTCCCCAGTGTGCGTTCTCGAGTGCCTTGTTAACCTGTCCTTCTTAGAAAATGTTTTACCGCAAACAGAACAGGCAAAAGGTTTTTCTCCCGTGTGTGTGCTTATGTGTGATGTTAAACTTGGCTTTTCAGAAAATCCTTTACCACAAAATGAGCAGACAAAAGGTTTTTCTCCAGTGTGTGTACTTGTGTGCCTTGTTAAATCACTTTTACTATAAAAGCTTTTACCACACACTGAGCAGGCAAAAGGTTTTTCCCCAGCGTGTGTTCTTGTGTGCCTTGTTAAATCCCTTTTGCTATAAAATGTTTTACCACAAATTGAACAGGCAAAGGTTTTTTCCCCTGTGTGTATGCTTGTGTGTGATGCTAAAGTTCGCTTTTCAGAAAATCTTCTACCACAAACTGAGCAAACAAAAGGTTTTTCTGCGCCGTGTGTTCTCGTGTGTCTTTTCAAGGAGGACTTTTTGACAAAGGTTTTGTCGTACCCAGAACATTTCAGTCGTCCTTTGCCAGTGTGACATGTCATATCACCATGGGAGAGGTCATCATCATCCTGATCGTCGTCATAGTCAGAAGAGTGTGACGTGACGTCGTCACCTTCTGAAAGTGGAGCCAAGAGGTCGTCTGATCGGGATCGTCCATCCTGGTCTTCATCCGGCCCCTCACTCTTCACCACACCATTCAACGGAGACTTGCTGATTTCATCCTCCTGCGCTTCTTCTTTGACGCGTGGGGTCTCTGGGTTTTCCTCCTCTTTAATTTGTGGGGACTGCTCAGGACAAAAATAGCCTTCACTGAGGTCTGCGGGAAACAAAAATCCAAATACACAGGTTGCTCAAGTCAGGCCTCGTGTTGTAACTTGGACAGTCCATACTATTGTTCCTAAATGCTTTCAGTCATACTTGGCAATGTTTCAGTTGATAGAAAATTAACTGAAGACGCTGATTGTGATTAAAGGTGAAATGTCTTCAACAAACAAGAATAGTCCAGTTGCTTTTACTCAACTTTTGCAAATTACTCCCTCAACAATAGCTTGAGTGAAAACGACTCAAAACAATTTTAAACACTAAAAGTTACACGCAATGAGCTAGTTCTTATCGAGAAAGGACCACAGGAGGGAAATTGTCAACTCGGAGGTCCACCATGGAGCCCTTTCATACCAAACCTTCCTTACGTCGCTGGATCCGCCTAATCCTGAGGAGACGCCATGAGGTCGTCCCTACTACAGATTATTGGATGTCAATTAGGTCACATTTCATGTAACCTAGAAAGCTCCCGGTGAGTCAATTAAAATAAACATAGGGATATGTTTTGTAGTTCGTAAACAGTGAGCGAAATAAGTGTACAAACCTCCCCTGTGTAAGACAACTCGAGGTTCCAACTTGAAAAGCGCGTCCAGTAGATGATGTCGTGGCTTCATGTCCTCTTTTGTTGCACAAAGTCCCCCCTTGTAATCTGATGTGTTTCTTGCAGACATTTTCACAACACTTGACAGTCACTTGATCCCGTTTTAGCAAAGTGTCGCGAACGAACTCGTTTCCTTGCTAGCGGCTAGCAAGCTAAGTTAGCCAGAGAAGCTTGAACTTGCATCAAGACGATTGATTTCCTCCACTAAATGTGATGGGCATTTTTTGTCGAGGCATCAGTCCGTTCAGTAATAAGGGATGAGAGGAACGATTAAAGTGAAATGCGTGCCCAAACCACGATCTGCGAGTCGGCATAGTCCACAGTACGCATGCGCAAAAAGTCAGCCATCTTTGAAATATGCGACGGCTACCACATTAGGACAAAACACTGATGATACCCGCGAAGGAAGGAAGGAAGGAAGGAAGGAAGGAAGGAAGGAAGGAAGGAAGGAAGGAGAACAGGCAGGCAGGCAGGCAGGCAGGCAGGAAGACAGACAGATAGATAGATAGATAGATAGATAGATAGATAGATAGATAGATAGATAGATAGATAGATAGATAGATAGATAGATAGATAGATAGATAGATAGATAGATAGATAGATAGATAGATAGATAGATAGATAGATAGATAGATAGATAGATAGATAGATAGATAGATAGATAGATAGATAGATAGATAGATAGATAGATAGATAGATAGATAGATAGATAGATAGATAGATAGATAGATAGATAGATAGATAGATAGATAGATAGATAGATAGATAGATCGTGACATGTTGCAAACAAAGTGTCTCTTCGTTAGCCACAGAAGCTTCGACGTGGATCCAGGCGACTTTATCCGGAAACACGCGTTCAAGTTATTTGGCTTTTGTCCAGCAAAACAATGACGTACATGCTGTCGGGGCTTTTGTTCGGCGAGTGGTGATTCGAGAAGCTTATTTAATGACGCGAATTGCAAACCTGCGCTGCGCCTACACAATCGGCAACACGCATTGCGCCACAAGTCAGATATCTTTTTTTGACCGCAAGCTACGGCGACTCAGTAGAGCCAAATGAAAGGCTTGCGTGGTTTTTTTTGTGTGTGTATTGTTGTATTTGTGTATGTGCGTGAAAATTACGTACAATATTTTTTCCCGACTGAAATATTTGAAATATATAATTTTTAAAGTTCCTAGCGCAGGGATAACCAAATATTTTCCTTTGAGGGCCAAATCACCCACCCACCCCTGTCAGTCTGTAACAAAAACAGCAACACTGGCAAAGGTGTCCAAAGGTAAAAGTTTATTGTTTGCCAAAAAGCCACACAAAACAAAAAATCCCCCTATTGCGTTGTATGAAATCAGAAAAGTGGAAATGGTTTTAATGTATGAATATTTTTTCACACTGGGGGTATTTACGCCCATGTAGGTTTCGTTGTAGAGGAGTTTCACCGTATTCCGTTTTGACACAGGTGTGTCCAGGATGAGGGTTTTTCTGCTGTTGCTGTTGTTGTTGAGCACGGGTCTCAAACTCAGTTCCTGGAGGGCCGCTGTCCTGCATGTTTTCCACGTCTCCCTCTTGCAACACACCTGATTCAAATGAACAGGTTCAATGTCAGGCTTCCGCAGAGCTTGCTGATGATCTGATCATTTGAATCAGCTGTGTTTCAACAGGGAGACTTGGAAAACATGCAGGACAGCGGCCCTCCAGGAACTGAGTTGGAGACCCCTGTTGTTGAGCAATCTTCTGTCTGGGTTTGTTGAGATGAATTATTTTGTTGCAGCTCTCCCTCCAGTTTCTTGCGCCATCTCTCCCAAACCTTGTAAGCAAGTTTGGGTTCCCTCGCCATTTGCTCCGGCGTCGTCAGGTTTGCTCGTGTTGTTGGCTGAATGGCGGGACAGTCTTGCAATACATGTTCAGCTGTCTCTTCCCCCAATTGACACATTTGACAGTTGCTGTTGTTGTATTTGTGGGGAGGGATGGCTTTCAGATAGGGCACAGACTGCAGAAGGGTGGATAGAATGTGACGTTCTATGCATTTTGCAAGCCTCGAGCACATGGCCAGAGTGAAAACAAAGAAATCAAAAATGCATCTCTGGTACAGTTTAGGGCGTCATGTGGAGGCGGGCCGTGCTTTGGGGACCGCTGGAGGCTCTGCTGTTTTAAACAAAGTGAAACTTTTTTCTTCAGTCTGACAAACTAAGCAGGCAAAAGGTTTTTGTCTGCGGAGTGCGTTCCTCTGTGTGCTTTTAAATGGCCCTTGAGTCGGAATTTTGCACCGCAAACCGAGCAGGGAAAGGGTTTTTCCCCAGTGTGCGTTCTCGTGTGTGTTTTTAAGTGCCCTCTGGTCGAAAAGCCTTTCTTGCATACCGAACAGGCAAAAGGTTTTTCTCCCGTGTGCGTTCTTGTGTGCGTTTTCAAGTGACCCTGCGTCGAGAACCCTTTGCTACACACTGAACAGGCAAAGGGTTTTTCCCCAGTGTGTGTTCTCGTGTGTGTTTTTAAGTGACCGTTTGTGGAAAACACCTTCTCGCATAGCGAACAGGCAAAAGGTTTTTCCCCTGTGTGTGTTCTCGTGTGTGTTTTTAAGTGACCGTTTGTGGAAAACACCTTCTCGCATAGCGAACAGGCAAAAGGTCTCTCACCGGTGTGTGTTCTTAAATGTGTTCGTAAGACGACTTTGGTGGAAAAGCCTTTCGCGCATATGGAACAGGCAAAAGGCTTTTCTCCAGTGTGTGTGCTCTTGTGCATCGTTAAGCTGGTCTTGACAGAGAACGTTCGAGCGCAAAGCGAGCAGGCAAAAGGTTTTTCCCCAGTGTGCGTTCTCGAGTGCTTTTTTAATTCAACCTTTGTCGAAAACCATTTAGCGCACACGGAGCAGGCGAAAGGTTTTTCCCCAGTGTGTGTTCTGGAGTGCCTCGTTAAATCCTCATTTCGATAAAATGCTTTACCGCACACTGAGCAGACAAACGGTTTCTCACCAGTGTGTGTTCTGGTGTGGGTTTTTAAATGTGCCTTGAGAGAGAATCTTTTCCCGCAATCTGAGCAGGCAAAAGGTTTCTCCCCGGTGTGTGTCCTTGTGTGTCTTTTCAAGGATGACTTGTTGACAAACGTTTTGTCGCACTGAGAACATTTGACCCGTTTGTCGCTAGCGTGATGCGTCGGATCACCTTTCGAGCGTTCGTCGGTGTCGGACGAGTGTGACGTCACGCCATCGTCATCCGAAAGTGGCGGAATGAGCCTGTTCACTTGTGGCCCTCCGCCATCTTCTTCTGCAGACAAGGTGATTTCATCCTGCCGCTGGTCTTCTTTTGTGTGTGGGGTCTCTGGATTTTCCTCCTCTGGCACCTGCTGCTCAGGATCAACATCTGCTTCGGTGACGTCTGCGGAACACAAGCACAGAGTTGAAGTTTTGCTCAGTCACATCTCGGCAGGTGACTTTGAGGTTGCGTATTTTTGTTCCCAAAATGTTTTGACAATGCTTGAGGTCGCAGACGTTGTTTATCATCTTCTAATTTCCGTTCACTTCACGTCAAACAGCACAGCACAAGAGAAAGTAATTCTTGGGAAAGGAGGAGGAAAGAATGAGACCCAAATTATAAATTCAAAAGGGTTGAAGTTAACCCGGTGTCCCAGCCTTGACACTCCATCTTAAGGTTCTACTTAGCACATCGTGAATCCTTGAATTCAAAATGCAATCAATCCAACTGTGATTGATGCAAACAACAAATAAGATATTGGAAATCACACTTTTGACTCTTTCTCCAACCGCTACGGCAAGGCACGCAGACATGAGACGCATTAGCAGCACTTGGTGGGTTCGACTTCAATTGCGTAGGCCTTCCGTTGCATTGGGAACACAAAGACGAGGTTTGCGGTTCTCACGGCTCTCCTTTCGGCGTCGCCGGGGCAACATGGCTGAGCGTCAAACGTTGATTGGTGTCCGGTTTGGGGTGGCTCTTGAACCTTGCCGCGCGGCCCAACTCGAGTCTGCTTCCGTGGGGTCAACATAACCAAGGGGCCGGTGTGGTGTGTCTTCCTTTCAAGCTCGATCTGGCGGCGAGGGCTATCGGGCATGACTACACAGCCGGCAAAAAAGAAAGAAAAAAAAAAACTGGCGCGCCATTCTTTGGGACGATGACCACAAAGGTGTCTTGTGCAGAAATGGCCAATTTTGGAAGTTGGCCACCATCGTTACAAATTGAAGAACGGTGAAATATTATCAGCAGCAAACAAATAGTGCAGTTGCCTCGACGCAACCTCTAGGAGGACCATTCTGTGGCAAATCCTCCCCCCCCCACCCCAAAAAAATCTGAAAAATTAAACCAGGCGGATTTTGGTTTGGATGAAACTTGCCGTACTTGTTGAGAGTGACGGCACGAGACGAAATTTCAAATTTTAGGTCAGTCGGAGCAGGCCTTCGGCTCTCCCGCATACTGAGCAGGCAAAAGTTGTTTTGTTTTTTTTTTCCCCCAGGGTGTGCTCTTTTCAAGGTTGACTGGTTGAAAAAGGTTTTAGCACACCAACAACACTTCACCCGCCTCTTGACAACATGACACGTCACCACGTCACCTCCCGAGTCGTCGTCGTCGCTGTCTGACGACAGTGAAGCCACCTGAGAGTGGCTGTGTGAGGCTGTCTGTTTGTGATCCTCCGTCACCTTGCTCAATCTTCACAGAGACACCAGTCAACGGAGACTTGCTGATTTGACCCTCCTGCTCCTCCTCTTTTATGCACGGCGGCGTCTCAATCTCCCGCTCCTCTTTCATTTGGGCGGACTCGGGCTCCTTGTCTACAAGACACAAAAAGACAAATGCCCAATGCAGGCTTGCCAAAGGCAAATTTCATCTTTCGAAAAATCGTTTTCTGACTGAAATCGCAATTTCAACAATGTACTTGTGATCGTCAAAGCTGCGTTGTTGTTGTTGTTGTTGTTTTTTTTTTGCGGTGCTCCAAAATGGCCCAGGAATAGAATTTTTTTCAAGCCGATACTGAAAACTTTCTGCTTCTCAAGATTGATCTCATACACTTTTTTTTTTTTTTTTTTTTTAAGAGTTAACGACAGTTTGAGCAGACCCAGAAGAAAGGAACAACCAAAAGAATCTGAATCATCTTGATGGGCCAAGTATGTAGAAGACACAAGGAATTTGTCTCTGGTAGTACAGGCTGCACTCGTATTTCAATAACAGATATCACGATGAAAACAAGGGGGCACTCAAAAAGATTTTGTGGAAGTTATTATTTCTTTAGACACGGAAGCCCGTCTGCATTTGGATTGACGATATCACACAGAAATATCGTAGCCGGTAAAGAAAAAAAAAAACTAATTTGGATCATTCTAAAATAGCTTCCCATTCAACCCGACATCGATATTTCGATTGTATTTGACCACAAATTGAAATAACAACCGAATGCCTGACTAGATCACAATCTCGCTCTGTTTATCTGAAGAATGGGGAGAACACGAAGTCAACAGTGCCAAACAAATTCATTTGACCACCATATAATATCAAGCAATTGTTCGGAAGCATTTGTTCGTTCGAGAGGAAGAAGTGAACCAACCCGCTCCGGGGAAGACAGCTCGAGGTTCCAACGTGCACAGGTGACGTTGTGGATCGACGTCCTCCTTGGTTGGACAAAGTTTCTCCTTGGATTCTGCCGTCTTTCTCCCATACATTTCCAGCAACAAGCCCAGCAATTTACACTCCCCTGATCTCTTCTTAGCGACGTGTTCCGACCCCACGAGTCTCTTTGTTAGCGGAGAGCAAGCAAATTAGCCAGAGAAGCTTCGACGTGCACCCGGGCAAGTTTTCCGGGACACAAAGCTCAAATTTGTGTCAATTGGAGTCCAGTTATATGCTGTCCGGTGAACAGGAATGCGAGAAGAATGTTTTCGTGAAGCGCGTGCGCTTGCGCGACAAGATCTGCGGCGGAGCCGACACAACCTGTAGTGCGCATGCGCAGCAGCTAGGCCATCTTTGAACCTGTACTACGGCGACTCTACTAAGTCAAAATACGCCTGTGCAATGCGCATATATATATATATATATATATATATATACACCCCCCCCACTCACCAGTTGAAAATCACTGCTCGAAAAGGGAGTACAGAAGGGGGGGGGTGGGTCAAATCCCCTCACCTTGACGCCACCTTTCCTTCACCTCACCTCTGGTGGATGACATCATTGGGTCAAGGCGAGATGAAAAGGAGCTTCTTCACAACGGAGACAAGGACAAAAGAATTTGACTCCACTTGTCCTAAATCACGTCATCACGTGGCAGCGGGTATTGTCACCGTCAAGTCTCTAGCTTGCGGACTTCACCTGCCAGGTACGAGCTCCAAAATAAAATGAGAGAAAAATCTGGAGCCAAGGCAGCTTTATTCGTATCGCACATTTCATACACGAGACAATTAAATGTGCTACACACAACCAAAAGCACAGCACCTCAAAGCATTTTCAAACAAAACCACTTCAAGACATTTCAAAGCAAAGTTAAGAGATAAAAAGTAGCCCTATAAGGAGACGAAAAGAATGGACAGCGAAGGGATTTTGAAAAGAATACTTTTGGAATCATTCACACATCGTACCCATGCAAAGTGTTTGTACAACAATGCAAAAAAAATGATAAAGAGACTAAAAAGGGTTTTCATTAATTTTGGAATTGCCCATTCTGCAACAACTGATGTCAAGATGTTTATGCTTTTATTTCTGTGAATGTAACCACCTCTTTTCCTTTTGCTCTGAAGAAACATTGCTTGCTTTCATTGCCTACCGCTTGAGACGAAAAGGTTTTTATGTTACTGAGGTTCACTTGTTGGCCAAATGGCAAATGTTAATAAACTGTCTCTTGCTCGCTTGCGTTCAGCAGACAGTGTTTTATCTTTACAGCTGTTTTTTTTTTATTTTGTATGGATACTTTAATATTTAGTTTGTAATGATTGTTTCAGTCCCTCGTGTGAGTTTTTTGTCTGTGGCCTGTCGCTTTAGATGAAGTGAAATACTGCCGAGAAAACTCCAGAGTTTTGGGTGGCTTGTTAAATCTGGATCCTTAGAAAATGTTTGACCTCAAACGGAACAGGCAAAAGGTTTTTCACCAGTGTGTTTTCCTTTGTGGCTTGTCAAATGCCTCTTCCTGGAGAATCTTTTATCGCAAATTGAGCAGGCAAAAGGTTTCTCACCAGTGTGTATTCTTGTGTGCGTTGTTAAATTTTGCTTTCCCGAAAATGTCTGACCGCAAACTGAGCAGGCAAACGGTCTCTCACCCGTGTGTGTTCTTGAGTGCCTTGTTAGATTCTGCTTGACAGGAAACGTTTGACCGCAAACTGAGCAGGCAAAAGGTTTTTCCCCGGTGTGTGTTCTTACGTGGCTCGTTAAATCTTTGTTTCGATAAAATGTTTTCCCACAAACTGAGCAGACAAAGCGTTTCTCCCCAGTGTGCGTTGTTGTGTGTTTTTTTAACTCGCCTTTCACATAAAACCGTTTACCGCACACCGAGCAGGCAAAAGGCTTTTCCCCGGTGTGTGTTCTCGCGTGAGCCGTTAGAGTCCACCTTTGAGTAAATCTTTTGGCACAAACTAAGCAGGCAAAAGGTTTTTCTCCGGTGTGTGTTCTTGTGTGTCTTTTTAAGCTGTCGTTGAGAGAAAATCTTTTCAAACAAACTGAGCAGGCAAAAGGCTTTTCGCCCGTGTGGGTGACTTTGTGCTTTTTCAAGTTTGACTTGCTGAAAAAAGTTTTGTCACACTGAGCACATTTCACTCGTCTACTGCCAGCGTGACGCGTCGCATCACCTTTGGAGTGCTCATCGCCGTCGGTGTCTGAAGAGTGTGACGTCACGTCGTCCCCGTCTGAAAGCGGCGGGATGAGGCCGTCCGATTGGGCTCCTCCGCGGTGCCCTCCATCAGCTTCTTCGCTCTTCACAGAGACGGCGGTCGATGGAAACTTGCTGATTGCATCCTCCTGCTCTTCTTCTTTGATGTCTGGCGTCTCGGTCTCCTCCTCCCCCTCCTCCTCCTCTTTCATTTGGGCGGACTCGGGCTCCTGCTGCTCAGGGTGGAGATATTCTTCGCTGACGCCTGCGGGACACAAAAATGCAAACACGGTCCAGTTGCCTCGACTCGTCCTTTGGAGCCCTCGATGACTGACGTGAAATCGATTCGGGATGGACAATGCTTTTTTTTCATGCTGATCCTGAAAACCTTCTGCTTCTCAAGATTTGATGATTATCAGGCCACCTATTTCCGATCCAGGAAAAGGGTTGAAACTTAACTTGCTCTCTTATGTGGACCAATTTGCTGTGGGTTGTCGGTATTTCAGGTCACGTCAATGAAATGACAGCCAATTTGTACGATGCAGATGAGGATAAAACGACCACAAAATGTTTGATCATTCCGAATTTTTCTGATTCGGCATCTTTTTTGTGCACCTTGACTTCTTCATCCTTCTTCACCCGCTTCGGTTGTTTTCCTTACCCCACTCCAGTCGCCTGAAATACATCCACTTCTTGATCACAGCCCATTTGCTTGTTTTGAAATGGAAAGGAGGGGGCATTTTGACCTATTTAAAGTCAAAACGTCCTTAATTGTTCACATATTGGCAAAATTAAACATGTTATGTGTATTTGAGCGGCCTGGCCGTTCGCGCGTCGACCTCACAGTGCAGAGGTTCAATTCCAGCCTCCCTGATGCCATCAGACCTACCTCGTACAAATTTGGGATGTCAATACCTTCCTGTTCAATGTAACTCAAATACGATACATTCTTATATAACGCATATTTATGTATACGGCGACAGCTGTAAAAAAGCTTTTTCACAGAACATTTAACATAACTACCACCCCAGCCTTCCTTAAATGCCGACAAGAGGTTCATTCAAATTTAAAACAAAAAACAAGCGAGTGTATGAAGTGAAAAAAACCTGCTCTGTGCAAGACATGACAAGGTTCCAAGTGGCAAAGGTGACGTTGTGGCTTGATGTCCTCTTCCGTTCCACAAAGTTCCCCTTTGTATCCTGCTGTCTTTCTCGCAGACATTTTCCCAGCACTTCACACACACTGGATCTCTTCTGAGCGATGTGTCGCTTCTAAAACGTGTCTCTGTATTAGCGGCTAGCTGGCTACCTTAGCCAGATTAGCTTCAGCGTGCACCCAGAAGAGTTGATCCGGACACGACTGCATCTCTGATGTCCTAGTCCAAGTCACTCGAAATGAACGTTCTGTGCCGAGGCTCGAGTACGTGCAGGACTCATTCAAGGAAGAATAATTCAGCGCCCGAGACCACATTCCGTGGCGCCGAGACTACGCAATCGGCAGTGCGCATGCGCAACACGTCGGCCATCTTTCAGGCCAACCACGTGAAGACGAAATCTTTTTCTCTCTCCTTCTGTCTGGATAGATGGCTCGCTCGCTTTTTGTTTTAAATCCCCTGACTCTTCTTTTCGGTTATCTCTCTGTATTCTGTACATGTATTAACAACTTCTTCGTTTTGTTTTCTGGAACCTTGATTTGTTCAAAAAAGACAAAAAATTATATATATCTCGCTCGCAAGATTGATGCCCCGCCGAACAAAAAGAATGCGTTCACTTTAAAGACCACATTTGTCCTGTCCAGAGGAAATCAAAGCTTGGATGGCACCGAATATTGATTCGGGTTTTAATTGACTGTTTTCACTTTCTCTAGTTGGTGTATTATTGCTATGTTATGTTGCATGTAACACATGGTTTGTTACATCCTCGCGACCCTAGCGAGGATAAAGCGTTGCGGAAAATGAATGAATGAAATGCATTTATTGCTTTGCAACTGCTGAGGACAATTTTAGAGGTGTACAATAGCCACTGGTTAAAAAAAAAGGAACTTGTCCAATGCCATCACCTGCTGATTGATTGATATTTATTCAATTACCTTTCAGTGAAAAAAAACAACAACACTACAGACTTGTATAGGAAAGCAAAGGCAACTGAAAAGTTGTAGCGTGAAGCTGCAGCGTATCAAGTTTACATGACTTTTTTGAAAAGACAATTGTAATTGAAAAATAGGACAATCATCAACGTACTACACAATGTTTTCATTTCACAAGTTAGGTCGTGAAAAAAACAACACTTTTAAAAAACAAAAACAAACTACCAATATCCACCCACTTAAGGTCCCAAAATGTTCCACTATTTAAAGAGGTATGCTCAGTGAGCAGTTCCAATCCGTCCAGGCAATATTTCATTGGACAGAATTAGAAAAGTTTCCGGGCAAAAACAGGAATCCGAAGCAGGACAATGATCAGTCAGTCTTCTTACTACAAAGTCAGAACACAAATATATTTTCTTCTTGTGTTTTATCAAACGCTGAGCTTGAATGAATCTTGTTTCACAAAGTAGGCAAAAGGTTCTCTCCTGGAGTGTGGGTTCTTGTGTGCTTTGTCAAATAGTCCTTTCGAGCAAAGGTTTTATCGCAAACAGAACAGGCAAAAGGTTTTTCTCCTGAGTGCGTTCTTCTGTGCGCTTTTAAATTTGACATATGTCGGAATCTTGAACCGCAAAGTGAGCAGGCAAAGCTTTTTTCCCCAGTGTGTGTTCTTGTGTGTTTCTTGAGGGCACTTCTTGTGGAGAACCCTCTCCCACATAATGAACAAGCAAAAGGTTTTTCTCCAGTGTGTGTTATTGCATGTCTTGTCAAATCCTTTTTGCTAGAAAATGTTTTGCCACAAACAGAACAGGCAAAGGGTTTCTCGCCAGTGTGTGTTCTTGTGTGAGTTGTTAAAGATGAGTTTTGAGTGAATCTTGTCCCGCAAATTGAGCAGCCAAAAGGTTTTTCCCCAGTGTGTGTCCTTGTGTGCGTAATGAGACTTGTCTTCAGAGAAAATTTTTGCCCACAAACTAAGCATGCAAAAGGTTTTTCCCCAGTGTGTGTGTTTGTGTGCCTTCTTAAGTCCGAATTTCTGTAAAATGCTTTGCCACAAACGGAGCAAACAAAGCGTTTCTCCCCAGTGTGTGTTCTTGTATGTTTTTTCAATTGACCTTTTACACTAAACCGTTTACCACAAACTGAACAGGCAAAAGGTTTTTCCCCAGTGTGTGTTCTTGTGTGATTTTTTAATTCACCTTTTATCGAAAACGGCTTACCACAAACTGAGCAGACAAAGGGTTTCTCACCAGTGTGTGTTCTGGTGTGTATCGTTAAAGTTGTTTTCAAAGAAAATGTTTTCCCACAAACTAAGCAGGCAAAGGGTTTCTCACCAGTGTGTGTTCTTGTGTGCGTTATTAAACTTGTCTTGACAGAAAATGCTTTAGCACAAACTGAGCAGGAAAAAGGTTTTTCCCCAGTGTGTGTTCTTGTGTGCCTTGTTAAATGTCCCTTCCAGGAGTATCTTCTATCACACACTGAGCAGGCAAAAGGTTTTTCTCCAGTGTGTGTTCTTGTGTGTACTTTCAAGGACGACTTGTTGAGAAACATTTTGTCACACTGAGAACATTTCACTCGTCTGTTGCCAGTCATATCACTTTTCGAGGGCCCATCATCATCAGCATCATCATCATCATCATCATCATGGTCATCACTGTCACAATTGTGTGACGTGATGTCGTCACCTTCTGAAAGGGGAGCTAAGAGGCCGTCCGGTTGGAATCCTCCATCGGCTCCTTCACTCTTCACACTGACAACATTCAACGGAGACTTGCTCATTGCATCCTCGTCCTCCTCTTCCTTAATGTGCGTGGCCTTTGATTTTTCCTCCTGTTTAATGGGGGCGGACTCTGGCTCCTGCTGCTCAGGATGGAAATACTCTTCAGTGACGTCTTTTGGACCAAAAAAAAAAAAAAAAAAACAGAAAGAGAAACACATGGATTGCTAGCTTTGCTCAGTCAAGTCTCATGCCGTGACCTTTATGTCGCATATTATTGTCTCTGAAAAGTCTGACATGCCTAACCTGCCTGCGTTCGTGATGAAGCTTTTGGACACAAATATGCCAGGCAGTAAAATGCAGAGAGGGTCCTTGGCTATTATTGCAGCATTTTTGGCTGCAATGTCTGGTGCCGAACTTCATGTAATTATCGCCAGGCCACTGCAAGGTCATTGGAAGGACGTCAAATTTACTTTCAGACATTTTTTTTAAATTGTTGCTTTACTTTGCAGACTTGCTGCTGTGTGATTATTTTCTGCCAAAGAACGTACAAAGGTTTAGTAAGTTTTCATTTCAGGGACCCTGACATATGCATTGCAGCGACCACAATAACCAACCTCTGGATGCCCCAACACTGTATCAAACACTTTTTCGCGAAATTCTGCCTTGTTGAAGAATTACAGATTCCAGTAGGAAGGTCTACCGTTAGCCTAGCATGTTCCAAGTGCTTGTTTACGCAGTGAGTCTTTCACATCCGTACTTGTACATGAAGAAATGCTGATCTGGATTTAAAAAAAAGCCAGGTACCAAAAGGGAGCATGCCAATCTCTCTGGCTTTCGTCATCAAAAAAAAAAAAACTAAAATAACTACAGATTATTTTAGGTGGGTGAATTTTAAGGCTGACATCATCATTACACACAGACTTGTTACCGAAGTGCCAATGTTCAGCCCATTCAAGTGTCTATTTAACGTGCATGCATTTAGCCAGCCAGTTAGACAGTGGGAAAATGTAAAATCTACTCTTCTCAGCTGAGCTATTTAATGTATTTTAATGAGGTGTAAAATATGAATTTTGACTCGGGTGAGAAAGCGCTTATTTTGAGCGTTGTGACCTGCACTTCTTTGATCCCGAAACTTCTGCAATGGCGACTAACTACGCCCCCCGGGGCCACGTCATCGTGAGGAGACGCCATCAGATCCACCGGGCACACGTTCTTGGAACGCCGATACGGTAACATTCAATGGAAGTAAAACGCGAACAAGGATCCCATGAAAAATAAACATCGGAATATCATAGGTAAAGTTAAGCCTGTAGCGAATAAGTGAGAGGAAGAAGTGAACAAACCTGCTCCGAGTAAGAAAAGTTGAGGTTCCAACTTGCAAATGTGACGTTGTGGCTCGATGTCATCTTCCGTTCCGCAAGGTTCCTCTTTGCACTTTGCTGTCTTCCTGGCGCACATTTCCACAACGCGGAACACTCGGAGCGACGGGTCGCGAGCAAACTCGTCTCTTTGTTCGCCGCTAGCAAGCTAAGTTAGGGAAAGACGCGTCGGCGTGCACACTGACGAGTTTGTCTGGACGCGAAAATCAAACGTATTCTGTTTTAGTCGGGTGAAATGGAGATGCGTGTGCCGTGTCGAGTCTTTCGTCCGCTCAGCAGTAATTCGAAAAGAATGATTTCGCGAAGCGCGTGACCAAGAACTCCCTCTGCGGCGTCTACGCCATCGACAATGCGCATGCGCAACAGGTCGGCCATCATTGTTCCCGTACTACGGTAAAAACAATAGGACAAAATCAGTTTTACGTCCATGCCCAATGCGCTCCCATTGGATAATTGAGTTCGACAGCAAGTAGTGACGGGCGGGATTTTCGGCTCTTTTCGGTGATCCGGTTCTTTTGGATGGGCTCAGTGAAAAGAGCCGGCTCTTTTTGGCTCTCAAACGGCTCTTTTAACTTTAGTTTTTCTTTTAAATATTTATGACAAATTTAGCATCCATTTTGAGAAATGACTTGGTGAACTAAATATTGCACTCTACTGGCTGCAAATAGCAACAATTATCAAGCAAAGAAAGGGGTTTTTACATATTTTATTGAACATTAAAAAGGCTCCAAACAATAAACAAGCAACAAAATTAAACTTCAACCAACAACAATCAAACATGCTGCATCATAACAAATATAGTGAGTAGTAACTGCAGCAGCGAACAAAACAAACATAAGCTACTCCTTGCTTTATTTTATTTGAAAAGGTGTTTCTCCAGAGTGTTCTCTTCGATGCCTTGTTAAATTTTCCTTTCGAGTGAAGCTTTTACCACAAACTATGCAGGCAAAAGGTTTTTCTCCAGAGTGTGCTCTCGTGTGTCTCGTTAAATTTTCCTTTCTAGTGTAGGTTTTATCACAAACTGAACAAGCGAAAGGATTTTCTCCAGTGTGCACTCTTGTGTGTGTTATCAAAAGTCTCTTTCGGGTGAATCTTGTTCCGCAAACGGAGCAGGCAAAAGGTTTTTCTCCAGTGTGTGTTCTTCTGTGTGCATTCAAATGCCCCTTATGTCTGAATCTTGTTCCACAAATTGAACAGGCAAAGGGTTTTTCCCCAGTATGTGTTCTTGTGTGTTTTTTCAAGTCACCCTTTGTAAAAAAACCCTTATCACAATCTGAACAGGCAAAAGGCTTTTCTCCGGAGTGAGTCATTATGTGTCTTGTTAACTCTTTATTTATAAAGAATGCTTTACCACATACTGAACAGGCAAAAGGTTTTTCTCCGGTGTGTCTTATCGTGTGCCTTGCTAAATCTGCTTTCTGAAAGAATCTTTTCCCACAAACTGAGCAGGGAAAATGTTTTTCTCCGGTGTGAGTTGTTGTGTGCCTTATTAAATCTTTATTGATATAAAATGTTTTACCACAAATTGAACAGGCAAAAGGTTTTTCTCCTGTGTGCGTTACCGTGTGCCTTGTTAAATCAGCTTTCTGAACAAATTTTTTTCCACAAACAGAGCAGGCAAAGCGTTTCTCCCCAGTGTGTCTTCTTGAATGCCTTGTTAAATCCTTTTTATATGTAAACGTTTTACCACACACTGAGCAGATAAAAGGTTTTTCACCAGTGTGAGTAATTTTGTGTTTGGTTAAATTTCCCTTTTCAGAGAATCTTTGACCACAAACTGAGCAGGCAAAAGGTTTCTCCCCAGTGTGTGTTCTGGTGTGGCTTGTTAAACTTGTATTCCGAGTAAATGTTTTACCACAAACTGAGCAGACAAAGCGTTTCTCCCCCGTGTGTGTCCTGGTGTGTGTTCTCAATGTTGACTTACTGACAAAAGTTTTGCCACAATGGGAACATTTCAGTCGTCTGTTGGGCGCATGACATGTCAGATCACCTTTGGACTGTTCGTCATCGTCGTCATCCTCCGTGTCAGAAGACTGTGACGTGACGCCGTCTCCGTCAGAAAGTGGCGCCAAGAGGCTGTCCGAGTGGGGTCGTCCATCCTGGTCTCCATCAGCTTCGTCACCCTTCACACTGACTCCAGTCAGTAGAAACTTGCTGATTTCATCTTCCTGCTCTTCTTTTTTAACGTGAGGGCACTCTCGCGTCTCCTCTTCTTTAGTTTGGGGCGATTCTAGCTGACGCTGCTCAGGTCCAAGATCTTCTTCTTTGAGGTCTGCAGGGCGGGAGAAAACAAACCCAGGGGTTGTTAAGGTCAAGCTATGCTCAGTCAAGTCTGATGTTGTGACTTTGCCGTTCAACGTTCCGCGTTATTGTTTCCGATGTTGCTCCTTATTGTCCGCGGGTCTGAGCATTCACAAGAAGTCCCTGAGCATTCCTTGCCCCACGATGAGCACCATCGGATATGCATGCGGGGGCCAAGCCCACATCACACCCGAGGTGACAACAAAAAAAATGGCCAGTGACAACACGGCCCCACTCAGCCCAGACGGTCCTTTTGAACAACATCCAAAATGGTTCTGAGAAGCGATGCTATTGTGACCGCTCGGCCCTGAAAAAAACGTCATGGAAAAGCGACCGCTCTGGGCCAAGTCTTGGTCTGAAAGCGGGCGAATGGAAAAGCACCATGGCTTCTCCAACCCTTTGTGAAAACGATATTTGTCAGAGATGTATCTTATTCCCATCAATTAAACTCAGTTTGGCTCTTCAACAGATTTTATTTGGGTGCAAAATGTGAATGTTGGCTCGCAAAATGCAATGCGAAAGCGCTTATTTCGAGCCTTGTGACCCTTTCATCCCAAAAGGTCTGCAACGCTGACTCACGAGGAGCGCCCCTGCTGAGCACGTCATCATGAGGAGACACATGACTGGCTGTCAATGTCGTCGTACTAAATGTCACTAAAATGCCAACAAGGTTTCCATAAAACACAAGAAAGTTTAAATCATATCAAGCATTTGTTAGTTCGAGAGGAAGAAGTGTACCAACCCGCTCTTGGTAAGACAACTCGAGGTTCCAACTTGCAAAGGTGAAGTTGTGGCTCGAGGTCCTCGTTGGTTGGACAAAGTTCCTCCTTGTACTCGGCCGTCTTTCTTGCACACATTTCCCGCGACAAGCTCAGCAGTTTACACTCACTTATCTCTTCTTAGCGACGTGTTCCGACCCCACGTGTCTCTTTGTTAGTGGAGAGCAAGCAAACTTCGCCGGAGAAGCTTCGACGTGCAACCGGGCGAGGTTGCCAGGACACGAAGCTCAAATTTAGTCTTTTGGAGTCCAGTAATATCGCGATGCTGTCCGGTGAACAGGAATCCGCGAAGAACGTTTTCGTGAGGGCCGTATCGGAGACAAGATCTGCGGCCGAGCCAACACAACCTGGACTGCGCATGTGCGGTAGGTCGGCCATCTTGGATAGTTTACTACGGCGACAACACTACATCAAAATACGTCCTGAGTGCCCGAGTAATTCGCATAGTTCGCAGTGATGTTTTAATGTGAACAATAACTGATTGATTTTAATGTTTGATATCAAGATCCATGTCAAAAAGAATTTTACTCCACTTGTCCTAAGTCACGTCATCGCATGACAGCGAGTATTGTTGCCGTCAGGTCTCTCGCTTGCGGACTTCACCTGCCAGGTACGAGGGCTATGATAAAATGAAAGAAATCTCTTGAGCCAAGACAGCTTTATTCGGACAGCACATTTCATACACGAGACAACTAAATATGCTTCACACAATCAAAACCAAAACACCCAAAAGCACATTAAAACAAAACACTTCAAGACCTTTCAAAGCAAAGTAAAGAAATAAAAAGTAGCCCTGTGAAGACATGAAAAGATCGTACAGTGAAGGGATTTTGAAAAGATTACTTTTGAAATCATTCAGAGATCGTACTTATGCAAAGTGTTTGTACAACAATGCAAAACATGATATAGAGACAAAAAATGTTTTCATTGGTTTTGGAATTGCCCATTCTCGAACAAATGATGACAAGATGTTTATCATTGTAGTTTTTCTTAAATACATTTGTCATTTGATTTCGTCTTTTCGCAAAAACGAAGCAGGCAAATGTTTTTTCTCCAAAGTGCACCTTCTTGTGTGCTTTGAAGAAGAGTCTCTTCTAGCAAAAGTTTGACCACAAACCGAAAAAGCAAAAGGTGTTTCTCCAGAGTGTTCTCTTCCATGCCTTGTTAAATTTTCCTTTCGAGTGAAGCTTTTACTACAAACTGAGCAGGCAAAAGGTTTTTCTCCAGAGTGTGCTCTCATGTGCCTTGTTAAATCTGCCTTTGCCCGGAATGTCTTCCCACAATTTGAGCAGGCAAAAGGTTTTCCTCCAGAGTGTGTTCTTGTGTGCCTCGTTAAATATTCCCTTGTAGAGAAAGTTTTACCACAAACTGAGCAGGCAAAAGGTTTTTGCCCAGTGTGAGTCCTTGTATGCCTTGTTAAATTTTCTTTTCTCGTGAAGGTTTTACCACAAACTGAGCAAGCGAAAGGATTTTCTCCGGTGTGCACGCTTGTGTGTGTTATCAAAAGTCTCTTTCGAGGGAATCTTGTTCCGCAAACGGAGCAGGCAAAAGGTTTTTCTCCAGTGTGCGTTCTTCTGTGCACGTTCAAAAGTCCCTTATGTCTGAATCTTGTTCCGCAAATTGAACAGGCAAAGGGTTTTTCCCCAGTGTGTGTTCTCGTGTGTTTTTTCAAGTCACCCTTTGTAAAAAAACCTTTATCACAGCCTGAACAGGCAAAAGGTTTTTCTCCGGTGTGACTCATTGTGTGCCTTGTTAACTCTTTATTTAGATAAAATGCTTTACCACAAACGGAACAGGCAAAAGGTTTTTCTCCACTGTGTGTTATTGTGTGCCTTGCTAAATCTGATTTCTGAAAGAATCTTTTCCCACAAACTGAGCAGGCAAAGGGTTTTTCCCCAGTGTGCGTTCTTGAGTGTTTTTTTAAGTCACCTTTTGTAAAAAAACCTTTATCACAACCTGAACAGGCAAAAGGTTTTTCTCCAGTGTGCGTTATCGTGTGCCTTGTTAAATCAGCTTTCTGAACAAATCTTTCCCCACAAACTGGGCAGGCAAAACGTTTCTCCCCAGTGTGTCTTCTTGAATGCCTTGTTAAATCCTGTTTATATGTAAACGTTTTACCACATACTGAGCAGGTAAAAGGTTTTTCACCAGTGTGAGTAATTTTGTGTTTGGTTAAATTTCCCTTTTCAGAGAATCTTTGACCACAAACTGGGCAGGCAAAAGGTTTTTCCCCAGTATGTGTTCTGGTGTGGCTTGTTAAAGTTGTATTCCGAGAAAATCGTTTCCCACAAACTGAGCAGACAAAGCGTTTCTCCCCCGTGTGTGTTCTGGTGTGGCTTGTTAAAGTTGTATTCCGAGTAAATGTTTTACCACAAACTGAGCAGACAAAGCGTTTCTCCCACGTGTGTGTCCTGGTGTGTGTTCTCAATGTTGACTTACTGACAAAAGTTTTGCCACAATGGCGTTTTACCACAAACTGAGCAGGCAAAGCGTTTCTCCCCTGTGTGTGTCCTGGTGTGTGTTTTCAGTGTTGACTGACTGACAAAAGTTTTGCCACGCTGGGAACATTTCAGTCGTCTGTTACGCGCATGACACGTCAGATCACCTTTGGACTGTTCGTCATCGTCGTCATCCTCCGTGTCAGAAGACTGTGACGTGACGCCGTCTCCGTCAGAAAGTGGAGCCAAGAGCCCATCCGAGTGGGATCGTCCATCCTGGTCTCCATCATTTTCGTCACTCTTCACATTGACTCCAGTCAATGGAAACTTGCTGATTTCATCTTCCTGCTCTTCTTCTTTAACGTGAGGGCCCTCTCGCGCCTCCTCCTCTTTAGTTTGGGGCAATTCTAGCTCCTGCTGCTCAGGTCCAAGATCTTCTTCTTTGAGGTCTGCAGGGCGGGAGAAAACAAACCCAGGGGTTGTTAAGGTCAAGCTATGCTCAGTCAAGTCTGATGTTGTGACTTTGCCGTTCAACGTTCCGCGTTATTGTTTCCGATGTTGCTCCTCAGTGTCCGTGCGTCTGAGCATTCACACGAAGTCCCTGAGCATTCCTTGGACCACGATGAGCAACATCGGATATGCACGCGGGGGGCCAAGCCCGCATCACACCCGTGGTGACATCAAAAAAAGTGGCCAGTGATGACATGGCCCCACTCAGCCCCAGACAGTCCTTTGGAACAACCTCCGAAATGGTTCTGAGAAGCGGTGCTATTGTGACCGCTCGGCCCTGAAAAAAACGTCATGGAAAAGCGACCGCTCGGGGCCAAGCGAGGCCGTCTCGGTCTGGAAGCGGGCGAATGGAAAAGCGCCACGTGACATGTCAAACTTAGACGAGCTCAACAATTGCCATGGCTTCTCTAACCCTTTGTGAAAACGGTATTTGTTCGAAATGTATCTTATTTGCAGTAATTAATCTCAGTTTGGCTCTTCAATAGATTTTAATGGCGTGCAAAACGTGGATGTTGGCTCGCAAATTGCGATGCGAAAGCGCTTATTTCGAGCCTTGTGACCCTTTCATCCCAAAAGGTCTGCAACGCTGACTCACGAGGAGCGCCCCTGCTGAGCACGTCATCATGAGGAGACACATGACTGGCTGTCAATGTCGTCGTACTAAATGTCACTAAAATGCCAACAAGGTTTCCATAAAACACAAGAAAGTTTAAATCATATCAAGCATTTGTTAGTTCGAGAGGAAGAAGTGTACCAACCCGCTCTTGGTAAGACAACTCGAGGTTCCAACTTGCAAAGGTGACGTTGTGGCTCGACGTCCTTGTTGGTTGGACAAAGTTCCTCCTTGTGCTCTGCCGTCTTTCTTGCACACATTTCCCGCGACAAGCTCAGCAATTTACACTCACTTGATCTCTTCTTAGCGACGTGTTCCGACCACACGAGTCTCTTTGTTCGCGGAGAGCAAGCGAACTTCGCCAGAGAAGCTTCGACGTGCACCCCGGCGAGTTTTCAGGAACACAAAGCTCAAATTTCGTCTATTGGAGTCCAGTTATAGGCTGTCCGGTGAACAGGAATCCGAGAAGAAGGTTTTCGTGAAGCGCGTGGCCGTGTCCGAGGCAAGATCTGCGGCCTGTGTCCAGAGCCAACATAATTGTACTGCGCATGCGCAGCCTGTCGGCCATTTTTGAAAATGCGCTACGGCAACCGCGCTAAGTCAAAATAGGTACAGTATTTAGTGCCTTGGCATTGAGTATGGATCGGAATATCGTATTAAACCTGAACTAATAGATACACATATATCTAGCTAGCAAATAGCTAGAGAAAAGGGAGCACATCATTCCTTTTCTGTCATCTTTCACTGGCTCCCTACACATTTGAGAGTTCTTTTTTTCAGATTCTATTCGCTGTTTTCAAATCTTCAAATGGCCTCGCTCCACCTTAGTTCTCTGAGCTCCTCCGCCCCTGCCCGCTGCCTCAGGTCTGCAGACCAGACCTTAATTGAGTTACCAAGAACCAAGCAAACGGAGGCTCCGAGGGGATGGAGCCTTTTCCGTGGCCACTCTGTTGAGGAGGTGATGATCACGAAGAGTGGCCGGTAGACTCGTGTAATTATAAGACTCGTTCAGATGATCATTTCAGAGATGTTTATTCTCTTGGGTTTGAACAACTCGGCAGCACGGCGTAATACGAGCCGTGGCCATGAGTATCGCGTCAGCGAACCAGGAAGGCGGAAGTGAGCTCACATACACATCCGGCATGTCCCTTCAGAACAAAAGCAGTGAGCAAGAGCGCTATACATAACATAAATCCTCAACACCCCCACTCGCTATTAGCTCACTGAGTAAAACAACAAAAATGTATCACACCATATTTACAGTTAACACTCTCCAAAGATTTGCATCGCAAATTTTTCCAACTTTTGTTTAGTTGCTGGTTTTGTCATCACATCAGCTACCATCTCGTCAGTTGGGCAATACTCGAGAATGACTTTGCCTGTTGTAACCACGCTCCTGACGAAATGATATTTCACATCAATATGTTTGCATCTCTGTCTATTAATGGGGTTCTTAGTCAATGCAATAGTGCCTTGATTGTCTTCATACACTTTTGTTTTTGCATATTTGTAATTGTCCAATCCATTTCGTAATTGCTCCAAGTAAAGGCACTCTTGAATAGCTGAAGCCAAAGATATGTACTCCGCTTCGCATGTAGAAAGTGCTACTGTCTGTTGTTTTCTAGTTTTCCATGAGATGAGAGAACTTCCCTCACATAGTCTGACACAATAACCGGATATGCTTCTCCTGTCTGTCTCATTTGATGCCCAACTTGCATCACAGTAAACCTGTAGACCAAGTTTTTCAATTGAGTTTCTTTTGAAGTTTAGTCCTTGTTCTGTTGTACCTTTTAGATATCTGAATACATGTTTTACTGTATTCCAATGCTCCACAGTTGGTTCACTAAAATGCTGAGATAGTTTGCTGACAACATAATTGATGTCAGGTCTTGTACATGTAGATAAGTATATCAAACTTCCCACTGCTTCCCTGTACTGTCTCGGCTGTTTTAGCTTTTCTGCACTTTCAGTGTATTCTAGTTTTGGTTCACAAGGAGTCTGTCTTGGTTTACAGTTTTGCATTTCAAATCTTTCTAGAATCTTTTTCACATATCTTTCTTGGGACATTTTAATTTGTCCACCTATTTGTTCGAAATCTATTCCTAAGAAATGCTTTAATGTCCCTAAGTCCTTCATTTTGAATCTCTGAGAGAGTATTTGTTTTACATCATTCATTACTTTTTCAGTGTTAGCTGCTAGGATAATGTCATCCACCCATACGATCAGGATTAGTTTTTCACCTTGTTTCTCTTTTGTGGATACACAATGGTCTGCATAATTTTGCTCAAAACCATTTTCGCATAAGTATGAGTGTAACACAGTATTCCAGAGTCTGCCCGACTGTGTGAGTCCATCCAGACATTTCTTTAGTTTACACACTAGTTTTTCACCAGTATTTGACTTTTTCTCATAACCTTGTGGTTGTTCGATAAAAATGTCACAGTCAATGGGTGCGTGTAAATACGCCGTTTTCACGTCCATCTGATGAAGAATCAAATCCTCCTGTGCCGCCTTTTGCATGACAACTCTGACACTTGTCATGTCAGCTGTGGGGGAAAACGTTTCTTCATAGTCCATTCCTGCTTTCTGATTGTATCCCTTTGCCACATATCTAGCTTTGTATTTGTTTGATCCATCAGAGTCCATTTTCAGTGTGTAGACCCATCTGCCACCAAGTGCTTGTTTACCTTTAGGTAGTGGCGTTAGTTCAAAAGTCTCATTCTCCTCCAGTGAATGCATCTCCTCGTCCATTGCACTTTTCCACTGCCTGGACTTGGATGATGTTACAGCATCCAGGTAATTCTTTGGTAAGTCACTCACTGCTCGATAACAGAAATCAATACATGTCTGTAACCTGTCCCTTGTGTCTTCAGTTTCAAAATCTTGGAGGTAAGCTGGCTTTTGTTTAGTTCTGGGTGGGTTTCTCCTAACCTCATTTTCAACATTAGTTACTTCTCGTCCAGCTTCGACCTGCTCATTTAAAATGCCTTTATTTCTCACAGGACTTTCTAGTTGTGTTACTTCCTCTTTTGATTCACAAGTAACATAGTCTCTATTTTCAATTTCAAATCCTGCATTTGCCTCACTTGTTTGAGTTTGTTTTTCGACCTTGCTTTTGTTTGCGATCTTCACTAGCCTGTGCTTTTGAACCTTTTCTATCTCTGGGTAGTAAACTAGATAGGCTGGGCTGTTTTTGTCGTAACCTACAAAAATGCCTTCTTCACATCTCGAGTCTA